CAACAACAACAACAACAACAACAACAACAACAAGAAGAACAAGAACAACAACAACAACAAGAACAACAAGAACAACAAGAACAACAAGAACAACAAGAACAGCACGAACAACAAGAACAACACGAACAACAAGAACAAGAAAAAAAAAAAAAAAAAAAAAAAAAACAAAACAACAGCAACAGCAAGAGCAACAACAACAACAACAACGACAACAACAACAACAACAACAACGACAACGACAACAAGAACGACAACAAGAAAAACAAGAACAACAACAATAACAACAATAACAACAACAACAACAACAACAACAACAAGAACAAGAACAAGAACAACAACAAGAACAACAAGAACAACACGAATAACAAGAACAACACGAACAACAAGAACAAGAAAAAAAAAAAAAAAAAAAAAAAAAAAACAACAACAACAACAGCAACAGCAACAGCAACAGCAACAGCAACAGCAACAACAACAACAACAACAACAACAAAACAAGCCACCAACAACAACAACAACAACAACAACAACAACAACAACAACAACAACAACAACAACAACAACAACAACAACAACAACGACAACAACAACGACAACCACAACCACAACGACAACGACAACGACAACCACAACCACAACCACAACCACCACAACACAACAACAACCACACAACCACAACCACAACCACAACCACCACAACAACAACACAACCACAACCACAACAACCACAACACAACAACCACAACAACCACAACCACAACAACCACAACCACAACAACAACCACAACAACAACCACAACAACAACAACACAACAACAACAACACAACAACAACCACAACAACAACCACAACCACAACAACCACAACAACAACAACCCAACAACAACACAACACACAACAACAAACAACAACACAACAACCACAACCACAACCACAACAACAACCACAACAACAACCACAACAACCACAACAACAAACAACAACAACAACAACAACAACAACAACAACAACAACAACAACAACAACAACAACAACAACAACAACAACAACAACAACAACAACAACAACAACAACAACAACAACAACAACAACAACAACAACAACAACAACAACCAACAACAACAACAACAACAACAACAACAACAACAACAACAACAACAACAACAACAACAACAACAACAACAACAACAAACAACAACAACAACAACAACAACAACAACAACAACAACAACAACAACAACAACAACAACAACAACAACAACAACAACAACAACAACATCAACAACAACAAACAACAAACAACAAACAACAAACAACAAACAACAAACAACAAACAACAAACAACAAACAACACACACACACACACACAAACAAACAAACAAACAAACAAACAAACAAACAAACAAACACACAACCACACAACCACACACAACCACACACAACCACCACAACAACCACCACAACAACAACCACAACAACCACCACCACAGCCACAACTGGCACAACAGCCACAACAACCACAACAGCCACAACAGCCAGAACAGCCACAACAGCCACAACAACCAGAACCAGACCCAGAACCAGAACCAGAACCAGAACCAGAACGACGACGAACGTTTTGGAGGTCCGTGCCTCTCATTCTCATTTTCCTTTCCTATCCTTTCATTTCGTTCCGACGTTCGTGCAAATACGTCCGACTTGGCGGGCATGAAGTTCGTCTTTGTGAATTGATCATACAGCAAGCATGCAGACGCTAGCCCAAGTGAAGAAAGAAACCAAAGCTACGCGAAGCAGAGCACAAACAAGCATTTCGGTTGCTCAGTCTTGCCCCGTAGCTGCCAAAAACGGGATAAGTCTTGCCACCGCACGGTCCCTACGTCCCGAGGGCCAAAATGGCATCCTGCGAGCCGGTCTGCAGACTCTGCACGCGCAGTTCGCGAATCAGAACTTTCCGGTCCTGCGGGTTTTGCCAAGACAGGAGGAGCCACCTCACTTTGGAGAGCGAGTTGTTGCATTTTGTTCGTGCGCAATCCACCAGACTCGGAGGCTGCCTCATCAGCCGAGGGTTGAAATTGGTTGCTGACTTAACATCCAACAACTCACACCGAGGGTGGGGAAAGAACGGATAAAAGATGTGACGAGGTCTTTTGAAACAAACCCATACTCTCCTGCACCCTGGCGTATGTGCTCAGGGGGTTGAAAGGTTCGGGAGGTTATGGTGCTCAGGGCAGGGGTGTTTAGGGCGGTTCAGTGATTGAGGGGTTTAGCTGTGACAGTGTTGCGGGTGTCAGGGTTTACAGGTTCAGGGGCGCAGCGTTTCAAGGGCTTCGGGGCATAGGGGGCTTAACAGGGTTTCGATGTTTTGTTCCTGCGTTTCGGGCTTTTGGTGGTTAGGGGTCTGGGGGTTGAGGGGGCTGAAGGGCGTTTTAAGATTTAGGGGTCTAGGGACCACAAGTCCTTCAACCCTCAACACTTCAACAAACCCCCTACAACACCTAAGCCCCTGAACCCTGTGCCGCCTAACCCCACGCCTGTATCTGCTTTGGACGCATCTGGCTGAGTCACGAACCGTAGGGGTGGCGACAGATGCAGGAAGCGACCTGAGCTTATCGCGACAACAAATGCCCTCCTGACAACAAATGCCTCTACATTGCGTTGCTGCGTTGCTCCTCTGAGCATCGCGGTTGCAAGGCAACACTGCAGGAAGATTGCAAAAGACACCCCGAAGAATCGACCTTATCCATTGGGCGTAGTGTCACAGGCGTGCATCTCCACAGCTTGAGGTCTGGACATGGGCGTGAAAACGCCTGACGTGATCCAGTCGCTTTTGGACATGACGCCCGCAATCTTTGCCTGGCCAGCGTTGTGACTGGCATGCCGTACATTGAGGTCAAGCCCGTCAAGCCCGTCAAGCCCTGACTCAATGACGCAGTTGCCATGTTGGGCTGGGTAGCGCAGAGGTGGAGGCACATGTTTCACATACCGAAGCCCCAAAACGGGAAGAACTTTTTAACTTGGGGCCCGGGGCCTTCAGAGGCACTGAGGCAGGCATGGACAGCAAAGCTGCAGCCACCTTGGTGCACGTCGGTGTCATGGCGGGCCGGTGCAGTCACCAAGTGCATGCCTTTTCGCATTCATGGTGCTCGCCTCACGACAACGTCGCTCCAACATTCCCAAAACAAATACGGTTTTTTAAAACCGCAAGCGGCTCCAGCAACGGTAGTCCGTACCTGAGGGCCTGAGGGATGTGCAAGTAGGAAAGTGGCTGACAACCCAGCAACCTGGGCTGCAAAAGAATGCGGATCATTCAGAAACATTCAGAAATACTAATACAACCTGTCAGCAAGTCTGAACGGACTGCCAGCGTGTCTGATCCGGGCTGCGAAGCCTTGACACATGCAGGTGCCTGCTTTGTTGAGCAACATTTCGGCAGGAGATGGCAGGAGCTAGCATCGTGGAATCGCGAGTGGAATCTCGAGAAGCTAGCTGCCTTTCGATCCGAGCTCCAAAGTGTTCCAACACGCAGCAATCATGCGATGTCGGAGAGCTTAGCTCAGAATGGCTCAGCATGATTAAAAGTAGCTCAGTGATCGGCTCTCCAGGTCGTGGCTCGGCTTCTAGGCTCCTTCATGAGGACATTGCAGATTGCATCACTTGGTCACCGAACTGGAGGCAGACTGCTTCTATGCGGTGTCTAACGCACAGAGACTGTTGACAGACCTGCGTGAAAACCTGTTCGAGCAAAAACGTATCAACAACGATGTGGCACCATCTTTCACGCTGAAGTCTACTTGCACTAGCAATGTGTTCAAAGGGAGCGCACGCTGCTTCCCTGTTGCTCTGCCTCCGACAGCAGGTCCGAACCGCTGCCATCTTCTAACTCCACGTCCTGGCCCCGGGCATTTACAGGCATACCCAGTGCCTTGGTGAACGTAACTATCATCCCAGAAGGCCGATAATGTTGGACACACTTTCTGCACCCCCCGCACCCCCCTCACCCATGAGGACCCTGAAAAATGACTGCCTCCCCAGGATCACACGCAGCACCCCTAATCTTGCAAAACACGCTTGTGGCAAGCCTGATACTGGTACATGGTAAGGGTCACAAAAGCCTCACGGCGACATAGAATTCAAGCAAGTCGGCATTGAGCTGAGCAGAAGCATGCTAAGAAATAGGGCAGCGGCTGGGCGTTGACAGGCGCGTCGTTCCGAGCTGGAGCCACAAAAGGGGAATTTGATGCTTCGCGAGGCAACTCGGAACAGGCGCGTTAGACCTGGTAGGCAGCTCCTAGAATGCCAGCAATGGGGCTGGGGTTGAACCCATGAGCATACTTTCTATGCTCTCTTGTATTCCTGTTCAATTCAGGTCTCTAACCAGAGTATGATGGCACGTGCCTTGCCGGTAGCTCAAATGATGACGGGGTGCCAGTGTGATTCCATTGCTTCATACGATACTCCTTGCGATGCCTCGATGGAACTACCAGTAGGAACTGAAGTGCACGGGCGGCGATTCGCCCATCTTTATTAGAAGTTCCCTCCACGCATGCTCAAACCTGCAGTAGCCTACTCGCAACTCCAATCCAGGACCAGGGCTGTCGTGGCGCGATTGCTGAAAGAGTAGTGGGAGTGTGCGGACTAACAATTGCATGTAATTTCTCACTGCGAGCCAGGGCTTTGCTTAGGCTTTGCGCAGGCTGGTGCCACGACCTTTGTCACCTTTGGCACGAGACACGTGTGCCCTCATCCAGCCTCGCGGCAATTGTGAACCCAGTTGCATGCTACTTGGAAGCTGAGTTGCCCGATTCTCATCATCGTCATGCAAAAGTGACATAGTGCATCAGTGCAATGAATATATCATGTGATAATCGAGCGCTTCTTGTCATCCCCTCGCGCCAGTCGTGTCTGGCAGCACTGCGGTCCTACATCATCTGACTGCGCATCTCCTATGTGCAGTGTTGTGGGCTTGGGAGAGTTACGAATCCAAGTCGTGGCGAGCCTGCTCAACGTCCTTGTGAAGCCGCGGCAGCAGCGCGTGCAGCACCCACGCAAAGGGCTTTCCGACGTTTCATGGCAATCCACCTGCGAGTGTCGCAGGAGGCGAGAAAACGACTTACTTGTGGAGGCTGTTGCAGCTGCAGAGGACCGAATCTACATGTGCCTGCGGCCGCGAACCCTTTTGACAACACAAGCCTTTGGTACAGCTGCCAGGTCTTGTAAGTAGTAAACCAGGCCAACCTTGTTAGCCAGGGCGGACAAGAAACTTCGAGATTGTCAATTGCATTCAAAAAACAAGGCAAGCAAATAACCGATCACGTCGACGTTATACGATGCTCCACCGCGCTCCACCATGCTCCACCATGCTCCACGATGTTCCACGATGTTCCACGATGTTCCATGATGCTCCACGAGCATGACAAGCATGAATGCAGTGAATGCTTTGGAATGCCTTGGCATGTGCCCACTTCCCTCTCCAGGCCCGCTGCCCTGCGAAAATCGTGGCCAGCCCAACCACCAATAGCTCAGCATGTTCTGCAGCCTCAGCCTAGCACGTTGTGCGCATCACAAAACTCCAAAATCATCTCTGACAACCTGTTAAACCAAACGCCACTAAGGCATTGGCATTATTGGTTGCAAGTGAGTTCATCAATATTCCATTTGTTTGTAATTTAGAACCCCAAAATCTGCGTCAATTTCGAAAAGGGCCCTTGGTAACGTGTGGTGTAGTAGTGGAGGTTTCGTGAGGCATGCCATGAGTTGAAACGTGTTGAAACCATCACGTCTCATCGAAGCCTTTACTAGGGAACGCAAGCAGCCAGATCAGCCAGCATTTGTATAATGGTCCGATATTCCATGCTGCCATGCTGTGTACGCCAACGCGCCTCCTCTTCGGCCGTGTCTGCTGCATCCTTTGCCGCTTCAACCTGAAAAACGTGACGAAATGCAGGCGGTAAAGCACAAAGCAGTGCACATAGTAAAACACAAAGTAACCCAAAAACTCCCAGAAGCCTCGGAAGTCTCAAACACAAACATCACAAACATCACAAACACCTCACAAACCCGAAACGCGAGAAGAACAAGGCTCAACTTGGTTCAATGACAGCAGTGTGTCGCCTTCTCTCTTCCGTCTTTTTGCTATGTCCGCTCTTTGGAGGAGTAAGCAATGAATGAAAGGAATGGCGCACGAAACCCATTGGCTAAGAACGAACAAAGCCAGCGAAACAAGGGCGGTCGTTCATGTTGCCACCTATTAAACCCGGTGTGTTCCTGCGTCCTTGTCTCACTCTCTATTTTGATGGCGCGTCAGAGTCCGAGCGATGGACGAAGAAGGCTGCGCAAAGACTCGAGCTGCTTCTTGTACTAGATGTAGAGAAAACTGCGAGAAACCCAAAGTAAGCCGGCTGCTCACTCTCCTCATCCCTTTCATGTACTGAGGATAGTTACAGACCAGAAAAGGAGAAAATGCAACATCTTCACTAAGACCCAGCTCAAGGAGTTCGCCGAAAAACTGACATTGGGGTTCTTGTGGCGATTTCGCGTGATTAGAGCTCGTTAAGCGATTCATCCAAGCGAGGGACAAAAGGTGTGAAGGACTCAAGGAATCATGCCTCTCTCGCCTCCAAGTTCCAGGATGATACGGTTGATGAAGCTAAAGCCAGAATAGCCAGACAAAGAGAACGAACAGCCTTGACAACCCGCGTGCTGGTGTCTTTGTTCTCTCTGTATGTCGTGTTTGCGACAATTTGCGACGATGGAACAGGCGGTATATTGAGGAGGAGGAGGAGGTGAGGGAGACGAGCCGAACTGCAACGCCGAGAGAAGATGACCGCGAACATAGTGGCCGCTACCGCTACCCATACAGTACTGCACCTACTTACGAAATTGCCAAGAGCCGACAGATTCAATTCAATGGCTTCGAGTCTTTTCTAACCGACCGCTCCGATGCACCTCAGCCTGCAGCAGCTGGGCGCGATCTGCAGCATTCTCGGCTTCTGAGAAGCTCGTTGGGTGCCGTAGCCGGATAAGCCGGCCTCGTTCTACGACTCTCTTGTTTCCTTGCCTTCATGCCTGAAAATAGCTTGCATGGACTTGCAAAACTTGGCGAGAACCAACCTGTCCAATCCGAGAATAGACCCTAGATCGAAGAGCGCACCTGGGTCCAAGTCTGGCAAGAAAGATGTTGTGTGACGGGGCAAACTTCCGGGGCCTCGTCGCGAGTTGCGAGACCGAACTATGAAAACGCTCGCATGCAGAAACTCTGACTTCTGACTTTTCGACGGGCAAGGGGTGCACCTTCCTGCTGTGCAAAGGGAGCTACAGAAGAGGTGAGCCTATCAGGTCAGCACCCTCACGCCCTCAAATGCTGGCAACCTGCAGGTATGTCGCCAAGGAATCCGCAAGCCTCTCTCAGGGACTCCCAGCGCTCATACACATGCTTCATCGACATGTCCTGTCTGCTGTCTGCGTTCAGTCAGGCCTGGCCACGAACATGTCTGGGTGGGCAGCTTGGCAAAGCATCTAGCTGGGCAACGCCGCGGTAACATCTCACCTTCACACTGTACAAGTTTCTCTGACAAGTCTGCGTGAATCTCCAGTCTTTACATCTGTGAGCCAAGTTGTCTTCGAGCCTGAAAACTGGAAAGAGGCTCTGCGAGCAAGCGGGGCATGGCTTGCGCAAAGGCCAGCGGTCACTGATTTGCACTGAACTGCGAGAACAATATCGAACAGTCTTTATCTCAATCAATAGATAATGCATATATATATATACATATGTACATGTGTGTGTAATCACTACATAAGTTAATGCATCAGTACACATAATACCTATAAGGAAATATGTGTGTGTAATGGAATCAACAGACTTTGACCCAGGCGCCATCTTTGGCATGGCTGTGAGCCCATCTTGCACATCAGCTTCGGCTCAGGTAATGGGCCGCTGCCAGGCGACTTTCTGTATTTGTACCGATTCAGAATTTACGTACCTCGTTGTCCTCTGAAGCAACGTGTGTCCTCCTCATCTCGCAAAGCACATCTGGGCAAATGATGCAAGTGCGCTGACCACACCGCAACTTTGAAGCATCCTGAACCTGAAAAGGCAACTGCTGAAACATGCTGAAACTGTCCTGCTCTTCTGGGATGCCGTACGTTCACACTCTCACGCGCAGTTAGCCTCCTAACTCATCAATTGTTGTACAGTTTGTGGTCGAAAGAGTAATCAAACCGGCTTTCAAATTCAGCTTCACTGCCTGGGCGGGTAATGCCGGATACCTCTATTCCTGCAGTACCAGTACGTGTCAACATTGCTGCAAAGCATCCTGCATGCGGCACGTTTTCTTCCCCACTCAAGAGATAAGGTGCATGCAGGGTACAAACATGTACAAACGTAGACATTGAGCATGCTGCCTTTCACTATATGTCGATCGTCCATGCTTATAAACGTTGTGATGCATGCCTCACACCACTAGTCGGCGCAATGCCAGTCTTGCGGGCAACAACTGATAACTTCGAAGAGAATATGGTCTCCCCATGCATGTCAACTCATTCGGAGAAACCTTTCTCCAGGCGTCGGATGGCTTCAGCCACCTGCAAAGCTGCTGCAAAGGAATGCTGCTCAAGTGCCGAATTTCAGAAGGGCATAGATAGGGGAAGTCTTAACGATGCGCCACGTTTAAAGTGTGGCAGCACGGCAAGATTTGGCAAGGTAGCAACAAAAGTGAAGGCCGAGGGGCCGATTATCATGAAAGCCTGGGCGAGTCAAACTCCGTGAATCACATGTCCTCAAAGGCAATCAAAGGCAGTATCATGCCTTCCCAGTAGCACAGAAGTCCAAGCTGCCGCTACTGCACTGCATGCTGCTGCTAAAGTAACCCTTCTTGAATCACGTGTTTGATGCATTGCTACAGATGCTTCAGGCTACAATCCACAATGCTTGGGTATGCTAACGAACTGCAACCATCAGTTCTTGCATTGCACCTGAACGGGACCCATCCCAAAGCTGCACGTTGCCAGGCACGGCGTCACTGGAAGTTAGCAGCGCGTTGCATGTGGCTCACATGTCTGCGACAAACAACGTACGAGTAGAGACAACACCATATGCTACCACAGGTCAAGTGGTTGGAAGGGAATGGTGGGCGTAGACCAAACGTTCGCAGTTCCCCCCCACCCCCCCCGCTGCCGGCATCCCCCCTCCCCCTTGTCTCATCTGTCTGGGATGCTGCAACCAAGCCTGCCGGCTGCCGGCGTCCTCGGATGCCTTGAGCGCCACTGCCGACCAATCAAGTCCACCTGGCATTTTCGCTCCAGGAAGGCGATGGTAGTTTAGTGTTTTATCACGAACAAGGTTCCGAACGCTGCCCGCCTCTTCCAGCATTCTGCGATGCCACAAACCGATCACGAAGCAGTGATGCAATTGGCATTGGGCAGCGTGCCTAGGCACAGGGCGTGCGGAAGGCGCAGGCCAGCGTGCCAGACACAATGCCTCTAGATGGCCCTGTGTACACCATTTCGATTCAAATCAGAAAATAAGAGCAGCACCTGCGCCGCTGCACTGTGCACAAGGGACACGTCCTGCACATGCTGAGACCGTGCCACGCCATATGACGCAATATTCCCATTCCACGATGTCTGCCAAGGTATGACACCATCCAGACGAAACTAAAAACACTTCTTCCGCAAAGAAAGAACAGTAAACAACGAGCTGCGCTTCTTGTGCTTCACGGGGCGCAGCTCACGAGAGTTGGTGCTCTCCGTGCGTCTAGCGGCCAGGACCCTGGTGAGGTACTCGATGCGTTTCGTCTCCAGTGCGTGCTGGCTCGGCATGGCTTCGAAAATGGCGCGGGCAGCGATGGTCGGATGTGAATTGCTTTTTCAGAGCTGAGATCTGGTGCTGCCGGAGGGCGGGTGGTCGGGCGGGACCTAGTTGGAGGATCACCGGTCATGGGTCAGGCACCAGAGTGACGAAAATCGAAAATCTGGTCTCCGATGGTCGTCTGGGTGCCTGTTGCGCCGACTGTGAGAGAGCCTCTGTCTGGTCCACGTGCATGTTCATGAGGCTATCCTGGCCGATGGTTTCGATGCCGGCGTTTGGAAGTAGCACGATCTTTCTGCAGCGAAACATAGTAAAGTAAAACCATCATCGTGTGGAGGCAGCACATGAAAGTGAGAATGCCGGTGATCCCGATCTCGCTGCCTGATGCGTCTGCGAAGCCGGGAGGTAGAAGCACTGGCCATCATCATCGGAAGCATGTCATCACAAGGAAACGACAGGAACAAGCCAAATCGCCGAGGGAGAGAACGACAACATTCGACCAACACTCGCAGATTTTAGCGGCGGATTTCCGTTTAGTTGCTTGCGGAGGCGTACCGACCGCTCCATGGCCCCATCTGCACAGACTTTTGCAACCTGCTGCTCAGACGGATCAAGAAAGAAAGGGCTATTTTACTCCTCATGGCCAAGCAGGGCCCGGGAGGTTTGCACAACTGCTGCTTTATGCTTCTGGGGTGGGAGGCCAACGCAGCTGAATTTGGGGGCAGTGTTGGGAATCCAGGGAGCGCTTCCTGCTGAGAAAGGCAAGGAAGCCGTGGGGCTGCTGCACAACTGGCACAACTGGACTGGGAGGCGGTGAGGCCTTTTTTTAGAGAGACAGCCCAGACCGAAGAGAGACCAAACCCGTAGCGCAGCGGCCTGCAAGACGACTGCAGAAAAAACAAGAGACACATGTAGCCACGAAGATCTCGAAGAACAACGCCCGGGGTCGGACGAGGGCCTGCAAATGCAAAGGCCTCTGAATGGTGCAGAAGAGCCATGGATCCGATAGATTCTTAGATTGGTGGAAGAGAAACTGGCCTTGCCATAAGCGCAGCTGGAAAAACCGTTGTGACTCAAGTGTGTGCGAGAGATGGTGGGAGCATTAGGAGTATAGGACAGCTTTGGTAGCAGCAGCCCCAAACAGATCCAAGGCAGGCGAGCGTAGGCAATCTTTTAGCGCTCTCCGTGCAGGCCGCTCATGGCTGCTCTGTGCTCTGCAAACCTCCACTTCTTCCCACGCAAACTTCCGCTTCTTCCCATATCTTCGACACAAGTCGGACTCTTGTTCTCTCACGCTCTGACCATATAGCCCCATGGCTGCTCTGTGCTCTGCAAACCTCCACTTCTTCCCACGCAAACTTCCGCTTCTTCCCATATCTTCGACACAAGTCGGACTCTTGTTCTCTCACGCTCTGACCATATAGCCCCTTATGAAACCAGGTCCTGACTCGCGGTGCTCCCGCTTCCCCCCCGGGAATTTTGATCACATTGCCTGGGCCGCCTCCGGTTGGTCAATGATGGTGAATGCAGGTTCCCTTGAAAAGCAACTTCCACAATGAGTACAGCGGCTACTGTACTCGATCTCTTTCTTCCATGCCTAGAGCGTACGAGTGAGCACAACGACGGAAGTGGAACACTGTGCCTTCATGCTTGTTGGCATGTCGCGCGGCTTCCACGGTGGAGATGGCCACGAGTAGGCATCCCATTTCTATTCCCCATGTTCTCCAGTATTCTCCTTTGCTCGGTGTGGAAGTGGACAGCTTTCAGATCTAGTCGCATAAGCAGCATCTTGTGAGCAACTTGCTCAACGTCTGAGTCTAGCCCTGTCTATCTAATCTAAGGTTTCCCAGACACCTTGCATAGCACACGCATCGGATCATGCACGAGACGATCAGTAGCAAGCGCAGCACTCTCCCCAGATCGAAAAACTCTCACTCGGGTCACAGCTGTCCTTGCTGCCCAAGTCCAGCGCAAAATGGGCCTGCTGGAGAATTCTTCAATTTGATGAAGGTGTAGGGATTCAAGGGAATGCCGATTATTGTACGCTGGCTCCCTAGAATCCTGAAGAGCAAGGGCAAATACCTCCTCTCCTCTGCCTTTTGCTGTCTCGCCAAAATAGGCCCACTAGGCTTCGCCACGCCGCAAAAAATCGTTCACCAGCCTCTCCACTCTCAGTTACCTTACATACTTGTAAACCTACTTGTATGTAATTACTCATGCACCTTCAACTGCGACTCCGGTTTAGGGCTTGGAGGCTCTAGGGTTTCAAAGCTTTGAAACGTAGAGCTTCATCTACTCCCTCTAATTTTAACAACAGCTCAGCCGGATCCGGAGTCTTCGAGTGACAGATGATTTGAATTCACACAAGAAACTCAAGAAACATTAGAAATCATTGGAAGGAACAATAAGAAACCCGGCCCCCTAGCTTCCAAAAGCTTCCCAAGCAACAAACAACCTCACAGGCCAGACCCTGCCGAGCTGGCGAGGTTCCCATTAATCACAGTAGTGTCGCAGCCGAGTCTCATCCGGGTACGGGTGATGGTCCCGTGCAGCTACGCGGTGTCCTGCAAAAAAAATGAGTCTAGTCTGGGCCCGATACTCTGAACACGCTTCGTCTCTGACCTGTTGATGCACCGGCAAACTGCCACATCGACTGCGCCGGCAGAGGATGGCCACTGGCCACAACAGGGAGCAAATCGTGCCGGTGCCACCGTACCCCTTGTAAATCAAGCAATCGAAGATTGTAGAGGACCTGAGGGACAAACTAGAGCACTCAGACCATACAATAGTCGACCACCTCGCTGGCATCTAACTACATTGTTTACGAGGTTCGACAGAAACTTGGGAAATAGTGATGCAACAGGCTTCTGACTGCTAAAAAAAGCTCACACACCCGAGGTGATGGCATCAAGGAGACAAACTTTTCGCGATCAACCTGAAGAACGAACCGCAACATAGCTGTCGACACATAGGAGCAGGTAGTGTCTTGCTGAGGCCACCTCCGACCACAGCACAGGAGTGACTTCCTAAAGGCTAAGAGAACGACATCATGGCTCTCTGCCAGCGCCGATGCCTGCCACAGTTCTGGTAAAACGGGAGGATTTTCGCAAATGGCGTATGAGGGAAAGCGTCACCAAAGCCACACTCCTCGTAACAGCAACCGCTCGACAGATGTGACAAGAACCACGCGGGGCTGACTGGTAGCAGGCAAAAGGGAGGGGTCCTTCCCTTGTTTCCGGGTTCTATTCTCCGCTTTGTGCTTTGCTATTTTTTGCTCGAGGCCAGCAGGCCGTGTGGAGGATCGAAGGATACCGAATCCTGCAGATTGCTGTTCCAGACTGCGCCTGGACAGGGATTCCTGTCAAAACGCTGGTTTGGGCTTCTGACCTTCAGCCTTCAGACTATCTGTTTCCGGATATCTCCGGCGGCGAACCTCTCCCCAACTGTTTCAAAACCTGTCAAGATGGGGCGTAATCACTGCCTATGACAATCCATCATTGGCGTCTACTTCGGTTCGACACACCTCGACCTTTGACCAGAGAAAAATGTTGCCGGGTATTGGGCATGCCATGGGTTGAGGTGAGGCGGATTGAAAAGGTCTAAGAGATTCTTAGGGTCAGGCTCACCTCTGCCAGCGATTCAATCGCGGCGGCGATCAGAAAATTTCCGCCCAACTTGACCTGCATCTTGCTGTGAGGGGATTGGGGCATGCTTCAGAGAAACTGCCTTGCGGATGAAGCTCACGCTGCTTGATTTGGGGAAATGAGTTATCCTCCTCCGATGCTCCTAAGAATCAACAGAGAGCTGCGTGCGCGGCCACATTAGCGGCACCAGCATCCTGCCGGAAGTCACTCAGTAGTGATGTGGCAAATGGCATGAATGTGAGTTGCACTTTGGCTTTTTGAGTGGCAGCACAAGGCAAGTAGTTCATTCAATAGTGCTCTGACACACAGTCACGGCTGAGCACAACGCAAGCAGACAAGTACAATCAACAAATGCAAGGCTTGGTGGACAATGCAGTGATGTGCTGGCTGACAGGGTTCCCGATGCAGTACTTATCTCGGTCATGGGTGCGTCCTCACCAAAATCATGAACCCCCAAGGCAGTCTTCTGGAGCAAGGGGACCTCGCGAAGTAAGACAAACCCTTGTTGAGGACCTGACTGCACTGTGTAGAGAGCCATTCGATCAGCGCAGTTTCTGCAGTCTCGGGATTCAACGATATTCACAAACTTTGAGGCCAGCGCAACCTTCTCCTTTGCCCAGTGCGGTCCACTTACCTGTTGCTGATGCAATGATTGACGGCTGATGATTTGCAGCATGAAATGAGGAGCAAGCCGGGAAAGTTGCTTCGCCGCGTCTCATACCGTCAGGACCTTACGCGGGTTAGCCAAGTCAGCAGGTGCCCCCCGAGTAGCTTTCTCCCATTGAATCATGTGCACGGAGTCCGGCACGATAAGAACTACAACTGCACGTAGCAACCATGCTCATTGAACTGCTGGCGCCCCAACGGGCGAAGACAGGTGCTGACACGAAGCCGACGTCTTTGGCTGCATGAGCCTCTCAAGCTACAAGTAGAGCCTTCCAACAGGCGGCATGAATGAAGTCAGCAGGACGCCGTCTGATGAAGCTGTTTTGCAAAGCAACGTCACGGCTCTTAACGGTTGCCTCAGACAAGGCCCGTGAGATGCTCGGCGAAACGGTGGAGCAAGAGACGTGAATCGGACCTTACTCCCACTGGTGTCGTCTGCGTCTTTGGGCCCAGTTCCACTCCTTCCGATGGTTTAGGATGGTTTGGGGATTGGGAGACCTGTAGGGCAGGGCTCCTAGCATTCGTATTCGCCGACGGAGGAGAGCGCCGAGGGAACAGCACATGTCGTCAAGTGGCCTTCCCTAAGCCTCACTCCAGGTCCGCAAAGCACCCTTTCGCCCCCCCGGTGTCCCTGTCCCCCTTACCCCGGCCACCCCAAAGCCTGCTGGGAAAAGTGCTCAATGACCCGACGCTGCGAGGTTGCACATAGCGCCGTAACTGTAGTCAGAAAACTGTGAAGAAACTTTCTTAACACGTAAATCGCTTCGACCACTACGAGGGCCCATCTCCCTGCGACAGTACCTTCGTACTCTCTGAAGTCCTCTGTAAAGCAACTCAAAGTGATCTCACATGTCATCCCCCTGCGACTCGGGCGCTCAACAGCAGTCGGTTTAAGGCTGAAGCGGTCACCTCGAGCTGCCAATGCTGGCAACAGCTCTGAAGATACTGCCTGTAGCACCTGAGAGCCATGTGATATGACTCCAGCCGAACGCTACACGCGTCGCGCATGAGACAGAATACCGCTACTAGGTGACGTGCATGGTCGTCTGGCAGAGCGGAGAACACAACCCAGGAATTCTGCGCCACCTTCAAACAAGGTGCTTCATGCTGCAATGGTTTCAGAAGCGCGCGTGTGTGTGAGAGAGATTTCATCACAAAGCTACATTGCTGTTTGTAATCAAGTGAATTGAGGGGGGTTCTAACGCTCCAAGATTCTAGAGAAAGTCCAAGGTCGGGGCCTTCCGGATCCTTCCGGACTCTCGGAAAAACTCGGAAAGCCCCGGTTCTGCACGCCAATTCTGGTTTGACTGTTTCGTTCTCGGCGCTGAGAATCTTCTCTGCTCTGCTCTGCTCATTCCCTGCCACCCTTTTGCAGTTGCGGAGAATTCCCCAAGGCAGTCTCCAAGGCTTGGGTCGCGGGGGCCAAGCTCCTAGCTCGTTCCTCCGTTGCACAGCACGTCGGCGGAAACGAGACTAACTTGCTTACTAAGTTACCTTATATGTCTAACTCGCAGAGTCAGTTGCCTTCTGTTTCCTTTCAAATAGTCTCTTCAGAGGGTTAAATCTCACAAGATTTCACAAGAAAAACATCGCAGATGTCGCAGCAGCCTCAGCAAGACTTTCCGCTGCTCTGACAGCCTCGCCTCCAAAGCATGCAGCGATGCGCGTACCCAACCGAGAAACATTTCACGCAGACTCATCGATTTACACTCTCATTTATCTTGAAGAAGGCTCCGAACACATTGCACACGTCATTGGGTAGTCGTAGGATGTGCATAAGTGAACTTGATGCAGGCAGCAATGGAGCAGGTAGACATGTGGAGACAGAACATCTGCCCAGCACCATGCCAGTCTGCTACGAAAAAAGCGACATGTCTGTGGACAGGGAGGGGGAGGGCGAGAGAGAGAGAGAGAGAGCGTGAGAGGGAGAGAGGGAGAGCGAGCGAGGTAGATAAACTGTTTCATATGCCACTTTCAAGCACGTCGTCTCGTGCCGTGAAGCTGCAAAATCACAGACGCATGAGCTAGATATGAGATAGCTAACCAAATCATGTGCCCAGCCTCTGGCCTGCTATCGCCTTCACGGCCGCGCTGTTGCGATCAAACACGATGAGCGACTCCCCCCCCTGAGACAGCTTCGCAAGTGGCACCAGATAAACAGCTTCTGAACAAACCAGCAGGCCAATGATGGGAGAGCAGCATGCCAGCTAGAGGCCGAAAGCACAAATGTCAAGAGCATGATAAGCAGCATGAGCTTTACTTTACTCCTCCCATTCAAGTCAGGCACAGAATAGTACAGACACAACCCCCGCTTTGACATTCTATGTAAGAGCGGACATATGGCGACAGCCCTTCTTGCACCCAGATGCCCAAAGGATGTCCGCCAAAAGCCACGATCTCATGTAGGCTTTTTAAACGAAGTGAGCATGAATCTAAGATCTCACGCAGGAGCATATCAAACTGTGCTGCGCTCACAACTTGAAGTTGCAACATGTTGCTACTGCTTTCTGGATGCGGGAGGATGTAAGAACTACTAAGAACTGCTACCGCATCCACTCGGATCACGTGCGGCCTTTGACAGGTTCGTGACCATGCCGCTGCCAATCTTGCCCAAACCAACGAAGCCCAAGCCAGCCACGCTGCTTGCATAGTGCCGCTTTTCAACCTTGCCTTTGCCAGACCGGAAACTTACTTCGTGTGGGGCCCTTTCTTGAAGCAGCAGGAAGTCATACAAAAAACTTGCGACAGTCCACCTGGGTGCCCTGCTAAATGTGCACAGGTAGGCCCTCCGCATGGTCCAATGCAGCATCAGATCTCAGGATATCTCCAACACAGCTTAGATGAGGCTGATGGATCTGGTGTTCATGTTGCAGGGGATTGCAGGGGCTGTGCAAGAAACAGAATGCTCATCCCTTTAATTCCTTGTAGAGAGTGAGCAAAGGCAGGATAGGTCATGTCATCATTTTTATGCAAGACACTGTGATCATTTGTGTTGTGGTATGTTGTGGTGCTTCATTTCCGCTGCTCGTTTAAGCCTGCCATATGCGGGCCTGGATATGCACATTGCATGGTTCCCGTGTCCGGTCCAATGAACTGCAAGATGGAAGCGGAGTGCAATGAGTTCGCACCCATGCAATGGCAAGTCACCCTGTGCATGCAGCGTGCAATACATGAAAGCAAGGCTTTTTTGGAGACGAACAGCGTCAAGCTCAGACGCATCTGGACAAATGTTGGTGCCTCTGCAACTTACAATGGGCTAGTCTGAATCACAATGCCAATCGGACTTTTTCTATGCTGCATTATCAAGTGAAACAGGGTGGGTCGTGCTTCTCAGACTTCGTAGCCAAACCGGCACAGCCAATGACAGGTCGACGTGTTCGCACGTTTGATTTCTTGAGTATACGGACCAAGCCGCCTCTTTTGAGACCGGAAGTACTTGTCAACGGACCACTTGCACGCGCAAAGGACGTGAACCCATGCATGTATGGCCAAGAAAGCACTGGAGAGGAAAGAGCTTCAGGTGGTCACTCAAAGCACCCGTGCAGAACTTGTGCAGGATGGTTTGATGCTTTCCTTTGCGAACAGAGATGGCCCGGACAAGCTGATGGTGATGATGATGATGATGATGATGATGATGACTTTGTCCTGCGTGAACAAAGCCTAAGTGCTGATAGACTTTTAGGCGTGCACTATCTAGATGTGCTATTGCCACCCTCAAGACGACGACTTTTAGACTAGCTTCAGGCCTTGGGTGCTTAGCATCCGGCATGATTCCGCGGAATGCTGACAAAAGATCGATGCGATGTTGTGAATGCATCTCGGCTAGTACTTTCATGGGCGCTGAGCGTCTTGCCGTTCCAATTGCAAGTATGGCACTGGATCGGTTGCTTCACTTCAACTTGTGCTTGACCTCCTGCCGACCTCAAGCCATACCAAACTCTGCTGTGACCTCATGCTGCATCTGCAGGTTGATGGGCGGCTCGTTTTTTTTTTGAGTGCTGACGGCCGCAGATGGCCTTGCTGTTTGTGCAGTCGTCTATTGCCTCGCAGCTGGAAGTGTCTGGGTTGCCGAGCACTACGAGTGTGCAAATTTGCGCTGCCAGCATGTTCTGGATGTTATTGGATGTTTTGAATATGTTTTCATCCTGAACTTCCAGTTCACTGTGTATATTTCTCGAGTCACCATGGGTCACCTAGTCAACGAAGTCCGAGCGCCTTCCAAATTTTGGGCACCTCTAGGGCCTGGCACAAACGAATAACACAAGGAGCGGTGGCAAGGTAAGCATGGCAACCTAGCGAAATTTAGATTGCATGTCCTTTGTGCGCTAGCTTATCTGATGAACCTTCCATTGGAAAGCATTACACCACTGCTCAAGCCCGAGGTTGCTGTACACAGGGCCACCAGACATGCTGCATGGCCATTTGCTGCACACACCTGTACACCCGCACACGCACCAAGCATGAAATGAGCAGATCACCGAACAGCCACTGTATGGTACTGGGACGTACGGTGGCTTATGGCAAGTTCTAGATCAGCGCATAACATGCGGCGCATGCACCATGTCCATTATCACATGGCGAATGACGCTGATGGCACTTCTGGCGCTTCTGCAAGAACAGCAGGACGGAAGAGGCAGGGCTTTGCTATGCTGGTGGAGGACTGAACTAGCTGATGCAAAGCACACCTGTAATGGTAGTTCTTGCGATCATCGCCTTGCAGTGCTTGTGGAAACACCGGCGCCTGTCATTCCACAAGACCATTTGCGCAGTTCCTGGCGTCTCCAGACTGTGAAGATGCCACTGGTGGTTTTCACTGTATAGATATCGGAAAATGTTGGAACTGAATGCCAGGCCAGGCGGCGCTCGGACTAGGTGTACAAGACATCAGTACGTGTGAGTGTGGGTAGTGCATCTGAGTATGATCCTCTTTAAACCCAACAAGGGAAAAAGTAAACGGTCTCAAGGCCTGCCTAGATCAGTTGGGGGAATCCGTAAACGCCTAAACCCTTGAGAGCTCAACAGCGGCTTGGCCGACGATGTGCGAAACTTCCCGAAATGTTGTTGGCAGGATCACAGATGTCGTCTTGTTTAGTTTTCGGGTCGTGTGAGGATTTGAGTTGAGGGGGAGGGAGCAATCTACAAAGGGGGGTGCGGGCGGGAGGTGATGGGGGAGGGAGGAGAGGAGGGGATGGGGATAACAGCTCTTACTTAAGCAGGCTAGCAGCTGCACGGTGCACAGCAGCGATAGAAACAAGCCTCCTAAACCCTGAGGCCCTAAACCCTAAACCCTAAACTTTAAATGGCACCGGCGCCGGCCTTACAACGTAAGAGGTAGAACCCCAAGCCACGTCGCTGCCCTGACTGTATATGTTTGGCATGTGCTGTGCACATGAATGGTCTTAAAGCTGGTGTGAAGGCAGGCTTGGCTAGGTTCAGGTGGAAGTTCATGTAGCATTGAGATTTTGAGCATGAGCGGGGCCCGTGCCGCAGCGCAGCAAGAAAAAGTAATGAAGGAAAGGGCCCGCAAACGCGAACGACACCCTGAATCTGTGTGCGGCGTAGACGGATGTCACCGACGGATTCGTTTCCCCGCGCTCCGTGCCACACACTTTGACCAGTTTCGTCATGGGTCGTCATGCCTTACATGTATTTTCTGGAGTGGCTGCATGTCGCATTGGGGTGAGAAGTCGAAATGTGATGGTAAACATGATGAAGCTACATATGCTAGAAGCTGCTAGAAGCCACGTGTGCCTTCGTGCCCCAAACAGACGGCTACGCGTGATCACCGCAAGGGCTACAAACAGCCTGCCTGTTTGACTCGGCAACTCGACAAAACTGCGATCCAAGCCTGCGGCTGACTACCAGCCTGTCGTCTGAGACAAGGGCCTTGGCTCCAGTGGACGTGCTGCCAGATTTGATCAAACTTGTCAAGTACGCAGTTGGAAAATTCTCCCAAGGGTAGCTGCAGTATACTGTGATCGCCCAGAACATTTGTGACTTCTAGTCCTCTGAGGCACTGGGTCCTAGCGTCCTAGCTTACTCCGCCTTGAGCTGTGCCTCCTCACGGACTACGCAGCACTTCGTAGGGCCGACGATGACGACGATGGCATGCGACAAAAGGCCGCCGTCTGATGGCATGTCTGTGGAACTTTGCAGCCTCACGACATCATGTGAAGTCCGTACCACCTCCTACTCAGCGTCTGTTCGTCTCCATCTGGTCTTAAACATCTTACACTCTGCCCACACAAATCATCGAACCTTACAGTGCTCACCATGAGATTGTGTTGAAGATCAATGCAGAAGTCAGAACTTACGACAGCATTCTTAGCAACTACTGTAAGTGATTTCACCAAGAGTGCACTGATCGTTTCTCTGCCGAGGCGCTCTTGCTTGAAGCTGTCATCTGGAGCCTGCGAATGAAGAGTCTCATCCGTGAGACACCACTGTAACCACTTCGGCAATTCACTGAAAACTGAGTTGATTCAAGCTGAAGCTGTGCTCCGTTGGCCTCGGAAGGCAGGAGGCGTAGAAGCCGCTCATGAAGCCTGCAGTGATGCACGATGGTGGGCTGGAGCAATACCAGCTTGCTTCAAAGAGCCAGCCAACCATCTGTACTTGTAAAGGACTGCAGGAGAGCATGAAGCTAAACGCAAACGTGCCTCTCCAAACGCCCTTCCTTGGTGACTCTGGCATTGAACACACAGTGGACGCGTGAGACCAGGGCTGAATACGAAACCGCACAATAATGCTGCAAGTGTGACAACTAGCGTCTGTTGTACAACACTATACCAGCCGGAAGAAACAGCCTGAAACAACGATGGCCGAAGGGCCATGCTGTGACAGCCTACGATCAATCTCAGCCGATCTCAGCCTAGATTCTGTCCGTCGCAGCACGGACACCATGACTTGCCCTCGAGCCGCCGGTGAGGTAGGGACCTCAGGTTGGGCAAAGTCAACCTCCACCCGTTCACACCTGGAACTCTGGCCTGCAAACATAAAACAACGGGACCTTCGGCCGGTAACAAAATTCGCCTCGGCTTCCTGCCGAGAAGCGGGCCTCCTTCCGCCTCACCCAACCCCTCCCCATGATTTTGTGCCCCCCCCCTCCCGCTCTGTGGGACCCTGTGGGACCCCCCCTCATAACTTGGAGGAGCTGCAAACCGATGGCGTGGAGGCTCCCGCCTGTCGGGACCCACAGAGGGAGCGCCTCAAAACGCGACAAGCCCCCCCAACCCCCCCCAACCCCCCCCCCCTCAAACACCTAACCCCTTTAACCTTCCTACAACCCCGCAACCTCCTTTTTTAGCAGAAACCCTCTTTCCTCCTTTCCTGTCCTGCGGCCGGCCCGGCTGCTGAGGCGGCGCGCGCAAGCGTTTACAATCATGGAACAGGAATGCTTGCGTGCTTTCGCTTGGGCTTGGATCTGCTACGCACCTCTTCGTCAACATCAGGGCTCTGGTATCCATTCTTGCCCTGCCTGGCACAGGAGTGACAGCGCGATAGCTCGATGTGTGGCTTGATGCCGGAAGTGCGACCCGGAGAAAACATCGCACTAAGAGCGGCTGCTTGTCCGAACCTTTGAGACCCATACGACCCATCATGGTGACAAATGTGACAAGTGGTGGTGCTTTGGTTTGATCCTCTCGACCTCGCGGCGAGTCTTGAGCTGCCCCAATAGCCGTCAACTCTCTGAATTACCCTTGAAAACCACACTTCGACCCAAGCCTTGCAGGATCGCCGTTGACGAACATACCGACATCCTGCACAAAGCTTGAGGCAAGAAAGCTCCGCTCGACCTCACATGTCCAGTTCCTGTCTAGTTTGGCCATTGGATTGTCGGACGCCTCATTTGTTGCTGCAAGTGAGGTCGTCCACCTGATCAACGTCATCTCGCCGTTAGACTAGACTGATGTAGCACATTGCATGCCCCACCCAGCTCCAGCATGCTAGGACCTGCTAGGACCCCTTGATTTCATGGATCTCGCCAATCGCAGCCGTAGCTTGCAAGCCCTCTTGGACATTCTTGGACTCTTGGAGCACAACTCTTTGTTGGTCCGCTCCAACCTGTCAAGCTGTGACGATACGCGTATCGTAGTTTAGGGCGGAAGCAGAGGCGCGAGGTCAAAACAGGCATCTTGGGGGTTTGGCCGCTTGGCATCTGCGACAGTTGACAAAACAGTTGACAGGATCTTACTGCAATCTGGTGATGGACATCTCGCTCTCGTGTTCCCTACATGACAGCAGTCCAGACTGGGCGACACGCGCGTCAGAAGTGAAACGTGCAGGTGACGCATGAACTTCACCTCTCATCTTCATGCCTACAGCCTACGGCGCATGGTCCAAGCAGCAGGCATTGTGGTCTGCTTCTCCAGTGCCCGCACGGCCCGGAGCTGAGCCGGAGTGGCCTGGATTAACACAGTCACGTTCGACGATGCACACTCGCCCTCTACTGTGCAGATTTCATCATATGAAGTAGGGTATATATTTCTTGTATCCCCAAAAGGACACCAAATATATACACTCACCAATATTAAAAAGGAACCTTATATACACTCACGAAGAACAGAAATATAAACCCTGCTTCATATATTTCCCGCTCTTTTGCGCACAAAAATCAGAACCAACAAGGCTCGAATACTGGAGTGCGCTGCATGGGCTGGGATTCCACATATGTTGAGACGGCAGCGTCTCAGGAAACTAGAATCACTCGAGCAAGTGTTTGGCAAGACAACCGACACAACATGGCAGTCCACGCGTCCCACACATCATTGCGATGCCGTGGCTCACTCCCTTCGGCTTCGGCTTCATCGACTTCTTGGCACTTCTTGGAGACGAAATGTTCATGTGAAGTATCAAGTGATCAGCTCTTCTGTAGAGTCTTCTCGGGCCGGGATGATGGGCCCTTGAAAATACAGTGGGAGTCGTCTTCCTCTGCTTATTTCTGCTTGGCGCGCGCAGAAGTTGCAAGCCCATTGTCTTCCATTCCCTATGGTGTGCCAGACTGGCCTCCGGTTGGTTTCTCGTGGAGGTTGCGGGGGCCAGGGAGCGGCAGAGATGCCAAAGGCTTGGCAGCGGCGAGGACTTCCAGCTCTCGCAAAGCTGTCCCCACAGACTGTGCACTTCTTTCAGTACCGCAAGGCCTCCTGGCATGCACTGAGCAAGAGTCCAGTCCCTCGCAGGAGCTGAGCCGGCTATTTGCTACTACAATTGGTTCACATGGCTCTCTGCCCACTGGTGCTACCACAGGGGAACGGCTGAAGGGAAAGGCCACGCCGAAGCTCGGCGGATCTCGGCGGTGGTCTGGACTGCTCTTAGAAAGCACGTGAAACCTTGCTTGGCCACGGCCGCGGCAGTCAGCATCGTGGTGGAGCGCAGCGGTGCATGGTGGTGCTGCTGCCGGATATGCCGCGGTGGGCTGGGAATAGCTGGGCGCATACTCTGAGGCAGTTTCCGGCAGAAGGTCTCGGATGAACCCCATTCCCCTGTGCATCCGCGCGCCTGTGGCCGAAGGAAGGGGAGAACGGAATCTGCAAGACAGTGAAGCGAGCTGGACCAAAAGGGTGCTGTGTCCTAGTTCCCCCGTTGCCCCCAAGCAATGAGATGTTTACCACTTATGGCGAAAAACACGAACACCCGCCAGACATATGCCGCTAGAAGGCATATAACTTGAAATAGTAACGTAAGAATCGTCGTAGTAGTCGCCGTAGTGGTTGTTTGGTATTGTTTGTGACGAATTGCAGAGGAAACAGAGGTTTTCCAACTAAGATACAGAGGAAATAGTGCTTGTCCTATGAACATACGAAGGAAACAGTATACAGAGGTTTGCCGATTTCATACAGTATGGGTGGAGAACTTTTTCGCATACGCTTCTTTTTCATTGTTGTCTGTTTTCTCTTTGTTTTTGGGGGGTGGTTGGGGTGGGTAGGAAAACCTTTATTTTCTGCATTATTAGGTATGTTTTGTTGCTAGGAGAACCTCTACTTTTTCGGAAAACCTCCAAATTCTTTATTTTAAGAGGAAAACCTCTTTTTGTTGCTTTCATTGCTTCCCCTAGGAAAAACCCTATTGCATCTGCATTTTGATAGGTTTTTCCTTAGGAAAAGCTCTACTGCCTGTGTATTGTGATAGGAGTCGTACTAATCATGAGATTCGCATGTCTTTCCTTCATTTCCTTGGTTTTGAGAATTGACTCTATTTCTTCTGTATGCCAATAAGTTTTCTCCCAAAAACTCTATGGCCGCTGCTTCTATATATAATCCCTACTAAACCAGCCCCCAGTTGCAAGCACAATGCTGGCAAGACGGGTTTGGACAGGATTCCGATGCAGCGGAGAGTTGCGGGCCACACCTCGCCCCCCCCCAGTTACAAACACAATGCTCGCAAGACGGGTTTTGCGAGGGGTCCGATGCTTTCCAAAGGAACCGGGAGAGGGGCTGGGTAAGATGGACACTTAGAAGCTATACTGCACGTGGGTGCCTTGTAAACATAACGTCGTTTGCAAAGGAACCACCCATACAAAAGAAGCAACGTGCCGGCCGTGTCAGCATGATGCATCCTCGAGCGCGGAGGGCGCGGAGGGCGCTGTCCACGCGAACCGAATTGTCACCCTCCCTGTGCGCGCTCCCCGCCGCTCCTTGTCCACGCCCCCCCGGACCCGTCCGTCAACTGCACATCCATGCATCGTCCACGCCTCCCCACGCCCCTCTCCCAGCAAAATGTTCCAACGCCCCTCCGTTAAATGTGTCGTCTCCGTGGCTTCCCGTCAAAATACATTCCGTCCGACCTTCCTCCGTTGACCGTCTCCTCTTCGTGGGCCTCTTGCGTCAGAACCCATTGCAAACACAACGCTCGCAGCATGGGCTTGGAAAGGATTCCTATGCCATTAAGACAAGTTCTCCTCTGGGTTTCTGTTTCTGAGGTCTTTCTTTACTTCTTTCTTCCTTGCTTTCCGTCTCTTTCTCTCATTCTTCCTTTCGTCCTTTCTTTCCTTCTTTTCTTCTTTATTTCTTTTCTTTCGTCTCTGTTTCGGTCCTTCCCTTCTTTCGTTCTGTCCTCTTCTTCCTGATCCTCCCCAGCAACAGGGCCCTCTCTCTTCGAGAAAGTTGAAGTTTTCCTAGTAAAAAACATAGAGCAAATAGAGGTTCTCTTCCTAAGAAAGCGAAAACAAGTTTTTCCGAGAAAGTAGAGGCTCTCCTAGTAAAGCATACCTTAATAGTAGAGAATATAGAAATCCCCCCCCCCCAAACAAGGTCAAGCCAGGAACCCGAAGACAATCCGAATTACAAGAGTGCTGGAATGAAATCCCCACGTTAAAGTCCGCTCCGTATGCACATTTTTCTAGAAGAGTAGAACAAGATATGATAAGGTGATGCAGGGTAGTGGATTATACCACGCGTGATCCCCTCCGGCTCTGAATATCTTGTAGCAGCGAACTTGGGCGACTTGTCCTGAAGAGATGGACCAAGGCAGGGCTTGGAAAGGATTCATTTATCAAGCAGCTCTTCATAATGAGATAATGGTCCTTCCTTCCTTCCTTTCCCTTTCCTTCCCTTCCCTTTCCTTCCCTTCCCTTTCCTTCCTTTCCCTTTCCTTCCCTTCCCTTCCCTTCCCGTCCTTCCCTTCCCTTCCCTTCCCTTTCCTTTCCTTCCCTTTCCTTCCCTTTCCTTCCTTTCCTTCCTTTCCTTTCCTTTCCTTTCCTTTCCTTTCCTTTCCTTTCCTTTCCTTTCCTTTCCTTTCCTTTCCTTTCCTTTCCTTTCCTTTCCTTTCCTTTCCCTTCCTTCCTTGCCTTCCCTTCCTTCCCTTCCTTCCCTTCCTTCCCTTCCTTCCCTTCCTTCCCTTCCTTCCCTTCCTTCCCTTCCTTCCCTTCCTTCCCTTCCTTCCCTTCCTTCCCTTCCTTCCCTTCCCTTCCTTCCCTTCCTTCCCTTCCTTCCCTTCCTTCCCTTCCTTCCCTCCCTTCCCTCCTTCCCTCCCTTCCCTTCCTTCCCTTCCCTTCCTTCCTTCTTCTCCTCCCCTTCCCTCCTTCTTCCTTCCCTTCCTTTTCCCTTCCTTCCTCCTTCCCTTCCTTCCCTTCCTTCCCTTCCTTCCTTTCCTTCCCTTTCCTTCCTTTCCTTCCTTTCCTTCCTTTCCTTCCTTTCCTTCCTTTCCTTCCTTTCCTTCCTTTCCTTCCTTTCCTTCCTTTCCTTCCTTTCCTTCCTTTCCTTCCTTTCCTTCCTTTCCTTCCTTTCCTTCCCTTCCTCCTTCCTTTCCTTCCTTTCTTTCCTTTCCTTCCTTTCCTTCCTTTCCTTCCTTTCCTTCCTTTCCTTCCTTTCCTTCCTTTCCTTTCTTTCCTTCCTTTCCTTCCTTTCCTTCCTTTCCTTCCTTTCCTTCCTTTCCTTCCTTTCCTTCCTTTCCTTCCTTTCCTTCCTTTCCTTCCTTTCCTTCCTTTCCTTCCTTTCCTTCCTTTCCTTCCTTTCCTTCCTTTCCTTCCTTTCCTTCCTTTCCTTTCCTTCCTTTCCTTCCTTTCCTTCCTTTCCTTCCTTTCCTTCCTTTCCTTCCTTCCTTTCCTTCCTTTCCTTCCTTTCCTTCCTTTCCTTCCTTTCCTTCCTTTCCTTCCTTTCCTTCCTTTCCTTCCTTTCCTTCCTTTCCTTCCGTTCTCCTTTCCTTCCGTTCTCCTTTCCTTCCGTTCTCGTTTCCTTCCGTTCTCCTGTCCTTCCGTTCCTTCCTTTCCTTCCATTCCCTTTCCTTCCTTTCCCTTTCCTTCCTTTCCCTTTCCTTCCTTTGACTTTCCTTCCATTGACTTTCCTTCATTTCCCCTTTTCCTTCCTTTTCCCTTTTTCCTTCCTTTCCCTTTTTCCTTCCGTTCCCTTTCCTTCCTTTCCCTTTACTTCCTTTCCCGCCTGCCTTTCCTTCCTTTCCTTCCCTTGCCTTCCCTTGCCTTCCCTTTCCTTCCCTTGCCTTCCCTTGCCTTCCTTTGAATTCCCTTGCCTTCCCTTCCCTTCCCTTCCTACATAAATACACGGCTTCTTGCACAGAAGACGCACATTTGCCACACTGTCTGAAAGGGACTGCGAAAAAGCTGAGAGCAGTTCCCTTGCGTCGCCTCCTGGCAGCAATTGCGGGCGACCAATTGTATTGGAGGCTTGGAGCATCTTGGACCAACTGGAGGCTGCAACCGGAAGCACAAGCTTGCTCAATCGTGATACCACACTCATGAAGATTGAAGTGGTTATGCGGGTTCTGAAGCACAGCGGCAGTCAGAGGTAGCTCTGCCCCTGAAATGCGCTGAAGCCGCAAGGCAAGACCACTTCCCGCCTATGCAAAAAAACTGTGCCCCGCCTTCGCCTGCCAGGGTCCGATGAGCATCATCAAGGCGCCTGACCTTTTGCAGTTCGAAGAAGAGGTTGTTTTCGTATGAGTCCCAAAAGGGTGCCCCTACAGCCCTTCAGGCGTGATTAAGGAGCACAAGCCGCACGTTGTTGAGACGTCCTTATCACCAGTGCGTTCTCACAGCGGCAAGTGGCAGTCAGCTTTTGAGTGCATGCCCCTTTTCTTTAACATTCTAGCTCCAGCACAAGAAACCTCGCCTGCTTCAGCAGGGAAGCCACCGCGATGGAACTGCTTTGCAGCAGGGCTGCGAACCTCAAACTGGATGAACGCTGGGGAGACAACGGGAGACAGCATCAATGAAGAAGTCCGCACAACCACTTTATGCTCGACGGTTAGGGAACGCCCTTCTTGTTAAGCAGTTGCAAGAATTGATTCTGGTAAGAACGGTGCTGGTCTCGTCCATCTCTACTGTGCCGCACCTGGATGTTCTTCATGTTCGTCTATTTCAACAGCTGACTGCTTCCTATGTCATTCAGCACCTACAGTAATCACCGATTGGTTGTCAAGCGGCTTGGAAAGGCTCCGCGAAGTTTGTTGAACACACCTGTTTCGAAGTTCGTAAGATTCCGTAAGCTGCACCGTGCTGGTACCTGAAGAGCACCTCTAGCTTTTCAATTCCCCGAGCAGCCAGGGTACAGGGATTCAAATCGCGTGACCATGCGTGACCGCAGCAGGGGGCGCACACGGGGCTACCACATCCGTGACCCTTTCGGTGATTCCTGTGGGCCGGACGCTCTCAGGCGTCGGCCGCATTCAGGGCTCTCGCAAACGCTGAGAGGTGCCCACGGTGCCCCAACTTCGCAAACAAAGGGAAACCCCATGAACATTCCGTACTCATCGTGTTCCCGCCTAGGTCCCGTGGCACTCGAGATACTTTGTGAGGCTCGCATCGCTGCGTGTCGCGAAAACGTGACGGACACACTTTCGTGCATTTTTGGGCTCTTGGATCGGTTTGTGTCGTGCGTTCTTTCCCAGGGGAAGTGCATTTCGTAGGGTTGCAAACCATGCGGTGAAGTGTGCAGAAATGTGCAGAAATGTGCAGACATGTGCAGAAATGCGCATCTGCATTGCTTACGAGTGCTCTTGAAATTGTCGCTTGGAGTCTTGGAGGGCGACTTGTATGACTTGTTAGTGGTGCTTTGGAAAGCAGTCTTGGATGTCTTGGAGTGGTTCTGGGCAGTCATCTTGGCGTGGATTCTCTTGGAGCGATCTTAGTCTCAGTCGCGGCATCTTGGAATATGTTGGACTGCTCGGGGTCTCATGCTCCTCTCTCTGAATGCTTTCGAAATGGATGCACACACGCCACCGTTTGGAGGTCTATGTCGGCAGAATGGTAGCAGTGCTCGTATGAGCATCCTCATGAGAACCCCAGCGGAGCGTCTTCAACAAAAATGACCAGCTGAAAGATGAAAGCTTGGAGCGAAGACGAACTCAACTGCCACTTGCCAGTATCATGCGGAAATGTGCTCCGTGCCTCCCAGCTGGAGGTGATGGAGTCCGCCCCATGGTAGCCGTTCGTAACCGTTCGGACCTCAAGGATTGCTGCAGGCGAACGACCATGTTAGCATGCATTCGCGACTCTTGTCACATGTCGTGCATGCACATCAGTCGTTTGGGGATGTTGGGAGTCGGGTTTTCATTTCGAGTGTTTAACTTAAAGGCTTCTAAAGTCTAAACATGTGCATTTAAATGCTTCAGCTGGGGAGGCCGATGCCAGGAATGGCGAATGTCAGCAACCCCCGCGGCACCGTTACCTACCAAAAAGGTCCTAAGATCGAGCCTGGCACCAAGGGCGTCTACGAAACGGTTGCAAGCACGAGCACGGCTTTAGCCTTTGCAACAAAACAACTTCCCCTCTCGTCGTCTTCTCCGGAAATCGACGGAAATGGCTTTGTATCAGGCTGCAAGTCTGCCCTTCTGCCAGCAGGGCATCTGGATAGAAGGCTTCAACATGCCTCAAGCTACCCTCTGACCGACGTGCACATACCAGCATGAAAGTAATTTAACAGTAAGTCTCAGAAATCCGTCTCTTCTGTGTGTTTCCGAAATTCGTGGTCGGAAGTCGAATTCTGAGCCGTGGCCCCGACCGTAGCATGCAGCAAAGCATGGGTGAGCGAATCCTGGAACGAGTGCAAACAGTGCAAACCGATGCACTCACTCATGGGAAGCAGTCCTTTTTTCTCATTACTGCGGCATGATGTTGAAATCTTGAAGATGAGGGCAGAGCAATGGCCCAAACGCATGGTTTTCAGCGCAGAGCACAATCCTGAAAAACCCAAATGGAAGCAGGTACGCACTAACGCAGTCTAAGTCGTGCCTGTCCGGGTTAGAGGCCGCGAAGCGCTACATTGCTCATCTTCGATTGCCCATATTCGCACCCATCTTCTGTGGCTTTGAGGAAGCACGAGGAGCTGCAAAGCACGGCCAGGCTGAAAACTCGCGAGCTCACGTTGAGATTGATGAGAAGGCTCAGTTGTTTCGGAGCAATCGAGTGACCCCCTCTTCGCGGGAGACTTTCCGCACGCAAACCGGCGCAGGAGGCACTTGAAGACTGATGCCCGGCTCGTACAGTCTCAACGGCTTTGGCTTCGGCCCATGTTGGCCCTATGGTGTTTTTGGCTTTGGGGCGCGGTTCTTCTCTGCTGAGATAGGGCGTTGGTCAGGTTGCTACCCCAGAAAAATAGAGGATAGCATTCTGAGCAAGCATGACTTCAGAAAATCAAACAACAACAAACTGCTCGCTAGTGATCATACATACCACAACAGACCCTAGCAAAACTGAGGGGAACCTTTAAGGGATTCCTATGGCATCGTGGGGATACGGGGGAATCTGAGGGCGTGTCCCCACCGCCCCAACAACGCCACACACCAAAAAACAAAACAAAATCAATGCGTCACAATCTTCATGACAAGTCGGAGGCAGCGACAGTACAACATCCCCCCGTTGTCAATGCCTCGTATGGTATGCGTCATCAACCAAAGGCAACTAGTCACAACCCCAGCAGCCAACACCAGTAGGACTCATAAGCCTGGACGCGCCAAAAAGCAAAACATGTACTGACAGGATTTAACCCCAAACGAATACATACAAAAACGAAACACGATCACGGCACATCGCAGAGCACGGAACCTTTTAGCAACTCGTCTCACTTCTCGCAGTATTTGCACCAATTGGCAGGATCTGTGGACTGGTGATGACAACTGTTGATGGCTGGCGCGTCCGGGGTTTTGTTCGCCACCATGCCTGTTTTACTGATAGGTGCAACCAGCTGTAGCCCTAAACAGGCATCATGTTCTCGGGTTCAGGCAATCCTGAACAGGACGCTGCACTGCTGAAGTGCGAGGGAGACTTGGCACCCTTGATGATGGCATGAGAGGTTTGCCTCTGACCGGTCTTAAATGCGAGGCGCTGTCGGGGGCATTGATGGGCATCAACCTTGTTTCATCCGCTCGTCTCGAACGGGATACGCATTGGATACGCTGTTCCACTCACACACTCACTCGCTCCCTCACTAATTGATCGACTCAGTCAACAGAGTCGCTTCGGGCACTGGCACTGACTCTTTGCACTTTTCCACGCACTCACACTCCTTGGTACTCCTTCGTTCAACCCTTCTTCAAACAAACCATTTCGTTGGACTGACCCGTCGTACAGGATTTGGTATCCCAGTGTCACGCCTTTCCCCAAACAATGGGTCCAAAGGTGTGGTGTGCGCATCTGGACCACAGGGTTTATATACAGTCGGGCCCTGTCCGGCTTCAGGGGCGAACTCAAGGGAAAGCCGCAATGTTTGTAATAAGTAGGGCTTTTGGATTTGGAATGATCGGCGCGAGTGAGTGATCAAACGAGGTCAGGGCCTGAGTTGGGTGAGTGAGCAAATTCGACAGTCAGGCACGCAGCGACTGCGTGGAGTGAGTTGGGGAGGGAGTGGGTCAGTGACTTTCGAGCCGGTGGGTAACGACTTCTAGCCGTTGAGAAAAGGCCGCCACATCATACCACATCTGTGTCTCCGGTGATGGCAAACTATTCAATTCAAAACTCATCATATCAAGGGCATCCTAGGAAACCGGTTCCATTCGCACCTGACGCTTCTTTGAGGGTTGTTCTTGTTCGTCATGCTGATGGGTGCTGCATACATTTGACAACACAAGTCGCGGTACCATGAAGATACCACAGCCCCTTCATCCAGCACACAGGTACATTTTGCAGAACTGTGGGCCGATAATAAAAACTTGCACGTCGAGAGCTGCAGGCAGGAATAGTGCGGACTGCCCGTGCATACCTCTCGAACTCAAGATTGCGCAAGCACCAACTCGTCCGGTGCTGCATATGTTTTTGATGTTATCCCCGTTATCCCCGCATACGAATATTCGTAGCAGAGCCCACGACAACAGTATAGAACCAAAACGTGCCGTGCCTCGGGACCACCACGCCAGCGGCTCGGAGATCGCAGTGTCGACGTCTTGCGAGCAATCGGAGACAGCATAGCTCACAACGGCAAATCTCTCTGGTAACATCGAGTCCGAGTTTGCACATAGGAAGCGAATCACAGTGAATGTCGTGCCAATACTGCCGCCTGAGCTAACAGGTCATCGTGTTTCAGGTACAACTTCTGACAGAAGTGCTTACAATGAGTTCATTTTCGAACATCGAACAACATTTGCGACTATCGGAATACATATATATATATATATGTATGTATATATACGCATAGATATAAATATATAAATATATAGACTATAGATATATAGCAATACTCGGACAACATGATGACACCATGATGCAATGAACACATCAAACACTCAAGCACAACATGCTCCAGCAACACACACACAAGGAGCGAAGTGAAACACGGAAACGTAGCACCTATAGTCCTAGAGCTCATAAGAGCTTGCAAGTAGGAGGCCCATTCCCTTGACACTTCTTTGTTTTCGCCTACACATGACCCTTGAATCCAAAAATCCTTTACAGCGTGTCAAGCATGACATGAGCTCGAGGCAACACGTCGTATGCCATGACAAGTCGAAAGATGCCTCTGATGCAGCGCGGCATGCGGCCAGTTCAGCACGAAGCTGGGACACCTGGCAGAGCCATGCACATCAACTACCAAGCAGGGCATGCAGGGCAGTTTGGGGAGCAGAAGAGAACACAAGCTGTGTGAAACTTGTAGCTAGAGGCTCGATCTGCTCGATCTGCCAAGGGACTACCATGAGCCTTTTGAAAGCCGAGCGCGCAGTTTCACATGAGAACCTGGTAGCGTCTTCTTCGCGCAAGGCGACGAGACTAGCTTATCCACGACTGTCAGAGAGCGAAGCCAAACTTTCAACCCGTTGCAGCTGCACAGCTTTGAGGGCCTCCCGTCGAGACTCTGCCATTTCAGCCTTCCAGCCAGGCCAGCCAAAACTACGTAGTCCTAATCTGCTACGTGAGCGGCGAGACGTGGATACTTTCAGTGCCTGCCGGCCATGCAAGTCACTTGCGAGCGATAAACACCCAGCGCTGCGTGTGTATGAAGCCGCCAAGAATGACACCCGCCTGAGCAAAGAGCTGCGCCTGAACCTGAATGACTCAATCACTGCAGGCTTTGATGAAGTGGCAGCTGTCGTTAAATGCATGACCCTTCGCTCGGTACTTCATAAGAGTGCTGAAACCAGTGCAGGCGCTGCACTGAAAGCATCGTTCGGGAGAAGGTCTGCGCTCTTTTGCTCTACGATCAGGGATCACTCTCTTTGTTTTGTCCTCCTCCTCCCTCTTTTGACTCTTTTGTGCCCTCGCCATCCCTCGCCAGCGCACCCCAAGCATGGTGCCTGCTTTGCAAGAGAACCTCGAAGTCCCCCCACGTCCCGACAGCGGGGAATGCTGCTGTCAACGTCCCCGCCGTCAGGGGAAGCGAATCGAAACGCAACTGTGCCGTAACTGTGGTTGTGGTACGTTGCGGTTCAATGTGAGTCGCTTGAAAAACTCAGATAAGGATGGTTTGGGATGTGCGGTGCACTTCAGATCTGCGCTCCGCAGCGCCGGCGCGAGACAGGTTTGACGCCAGGTTGGAGTGTGAGCAAAGACATGAACACTTTGAACAGAGCTGAGTTGGTTCATCATTCCGCCCGGACCTTTCGTTAGGAATCCCTTTTGGCGCTTGATAGCCTTGGGCCTCCCTTGTTCAGAACGGCCAATTGTCGGCCTCTCCCGGGCTTGGTTTGTGAGTATCTTGGAACAATTTCAACATATTTCAACCCTTCACAATACGGAAAGTTGAGTTGCATGTCAGTGTGCAAGGCAGAACGCTCGTGTGGTCAAGTGCAGCATGGCCTCAGCACAACGCAGCGCCTCCCGCGCAGCGCAAGCTTCCTGCGTGTTGTGCGCTCTTGACGCGGCAATGGCTGACATTCACGTTGGCACACTTCCACGACGCAGTAAGCACTTCCTCGATGCAGTGAGCGTAAATAAGCACGATCTAAGGTTTGGAGTTAGGATGGTTTAGGGCCGCACTGGGGCTGCAAATGCTAAAGCCTGATGCGCAAAGCATCACAAAGCGCCCCACCAGACAGCAGGGCAATTCACAGAGCGAGTTCCACATTCGAATTTGGCACGCCGATGCAACACACGCACCGCTGGACAACAAGTGCAAATCACATCACAGTGCAAGCTAGCTTGACTCGTCATTGACACCTTCAAGACTAAGTTTGCCAGGGCTCCCTGGACTGATATCGGCTGATGAATTAATGGTGATGAACTTATGAACTGATGCCAGAAAATCCGCTTGTGTGGTTGCTTAGCCTAGGACGGTGCACTGCACCGACTGAGCAGCGGGCCGCCACCTCATAAGTCTTGCAGTCGGCGTGTGTTCGAAAAAACGGCTGCCAGCGGCAGCAAGGTTGCATTTCTGCAGGATTCATGCCCGAGAGCGAATGTTTGGCTTGACTCGAGGCAGCTGGTGCAAGCATCGTGTTCTTCTCATACCAACCTCGTACAATCCAATGCTGCCTTGCCAACTGCTGTATCGTGGCCCGACCAACCGAGTGGCCAAGTCATACACGCTACCGCGAAACCCAAGGTATCAGTACATGTGATGCGCTCAAACAGAGCAAGTTCAAACAACCTGTGTTTGGCTTCTCTTATTCTCCCAAGGAATGCAACACTGCAACAACTAAACCTTAAAACCTTCCACATCAGGATGAACCGGGCGTGCAGTGTCCGGACGATCCATGTCTGGTGAGCGTTTTGCAGAATGCAGCGTTGCACGATGAGGCGCGGAACTAGTACAGTCAGTCAAACAGGGCACACATCCACTGCACATCCTGTGTCTCTTCACTCTTGCAGCGCACCACGACCAACTGCTCCTGGCAACACATATTAAAGGATTCAGACGCATGCACACTCGAACACCAACAACACAAACACACTGGTGGGGTAGAACCGGGGCACATCTTGGGATGAGATGCAGAAAAACACGTGATTGCTGTCCTACATTGTCCTCGCAGATCTAGCAGCCCTTATAAGCTACAGCTAGAGCAACCCTTCGGGACGCACAATGGGAAGAGCTGCGCCTAAGCCCCCCCTCCAAAAGCCCCATTGACTAACACTACCAACACCTAAACGCGAGAAACAAGATTGATGGCAGATTTGTTTGACTTGTGTGAAGGCCATATGAAGGCCCTCGAAGCGACTCACACCCAGCGACGTCGCCTGTACAAGTCTATTTGGGAGAGGTTGCCTGCATAAGCTACAACATTACAGACATGCATTGCTTCCGCTATCTTCCGTTGCTAGCGTGTGGGTTTGAAGGCCTGAGTTGGGAGATGGCCCTGGAGTGATGTGCACAATGGTTCCCGTCCTCCAGCTTCTGCCTCTCAGTCCTGATGCATTCTCTTGGAGGGGGCGCAGTTGGCACAGCCCAGAGACGAAGACACTGCCCCAATGCTGCAGCAGCGGCCGCAATTCTGTGTTTTTTGTTGGCTACTCAAAAGCTGCCTGCTCCACTGGTAGACGGGGGAAAAACATGTACCCAACCGATTTGCAAAAAAACCTGCTGGTTGGATGGGAATGGGAAATTGCATTGGCGAACGTTGGGTGCTCCACTCTTGGTGAGCAAATCGGACAAATTGCAGAAAGCTCAACTGGGATGGTATCTTGATTGGCAGATAACCAGAAAACCATGCTGCCCCTGCGAACCTATCGTTCACAACTGACTACACAGTGCTCACAAACCATCTCCCCTTTGGTTTTGGCCATCTCTTGAGGCATGAGCAATTCCCATCATCTCTTGAACCCATGAGCAAAATCAGCTATCCCAGCACTGTGACAACTGTCGGGAGTGGCTTCGCCATGTGGAATGTGACTTGAGTTTGCAGCCATCTCACACGTGGTGCGACGGCACACTCTTCCAACCGTTAGCAACTGGCTTCGTTGGCGAAGGAGGTGATATGGGCACCTCTGCCCCTTGCTCCTTGATTTGCACGCGCACACACACACACACACCGAGGTGAGGTGCTACTAGTACAGCAACTTCAAGAATAACTTCAGAATAACTATGAAAAATAACTCCACACATTTCAGTACCCTGTCGGCATCTGCCGGCCTTTCGGCTGCCAAGAGCGCTTCTTGTGCCGCAGCTTTGGATCGATAGATGATGGCCTGTGGCTTCGCTGATCTTTGCTGCCGACAATGAAACTAGCTCTCAACTTCACCGAACATTCTGCGTGGGACAGACAGAATGTGCATAGCGCATCGTGGCAAGCTCTTGTTCAAGAACTGATCTTGCTACAATCAGTAATCAAACCCAGATATCTGATGGGGACGATGGAAAACCTCAACGGAAGACTCTCGTCTCTCAACGTCTCTCAACGTCTCCCAGCGTCTCCCAGCGTCTCTCAACTTCATTCTCGGGAAATTGGGCGCTCCGTAGCCCCTCCGTACCCACTTCTTTCTCAGCCCCTCGCCTCGGAGTCAAGCCTGTGCTGCATGTCACGAAGCTCCTGGCAATACAGAGGATTTCTACCTTGATGAGCGGCTTCAGAAGCGGCTTGCGGCTCCCAAATTCTCGAAGTTGCAGTTCTCCCGTTTTTCTAGCAGTTCGCGTCCCGTGGCAGGCGGAATCCTGCTGGAGCTTTTGGCAGGCGAACCTCGGACTGCAACATGGGCCATATGCTACAACTTCCGGAACTGACGTGAAGAATCCAAAGAAGTTGACCGTAAGAACCAATTCGGGGGCTAGGAAGGGCCATGCGCCTGTGTCCCCTGTTGACCGCCGGGATGGTTGGCGCGCGTCTCTCGCATCTCCGCAAGTGTTGGGGCCTCACGAACTCGTCGACGTACATCGGCCCTCGCATGCCCTCGTATGAGGCCACCGAAATGTTTAGAAAACTTGCGAAGGTCGTGCGAGGCGTGCCGGGGCGTGCTGCAGTTCCAAGGCCCAGACGCTTTAAATTCAACAGCGAGCCTCCCCAAGACCCGGAAGCAACGCGCCCTAACACTCCGAACTTGCGGTAAAAATCTGAGAGACAGTGGCAGAGAGAGAGGGAGAGAGAGAGAGAGAGAGGCAGGGAGCTCAGTGCCTCAGTGTTCTTTGATGAGGTGACTCTCTTATTTATCAGCCTAGATGCAATCTGCTCTTGTGTCAGTACCAGGGCTTTTGATTGCAATTCAATGATTCTGAAGTGCACAGCTCAGCAAGGACATATGCACTAACTCACTGATTCTTCTAACGATTTCTGGGGCGGTCGCATCTCGGAGGCAAAATCTGCTTCGGCAGTCGTGGCCCTGCCAAAGGCTGCTTTGACCTTCATGGGCGCGACAAGATACAGTGCACATGTCGTAGAAGAGGCAAACAAACAACGGGGGCATTAACAACGCATGACAGCGCTATATGTATCTTACAACGGCGTTTACCTTCTATTTAAAGTACTCGTCTTTGCTTCTGTCACTCTTCTTTCCTCGTCTACTCCACCAGCCACGCCTTGTCCTCCTGAAGGGCAAGCTTGCGCCCAGCTTCCTGGAGCTCCTCGCCGGGAAAAATGGGGGGGGGGGGGGCGGGGAAGAAGGGTAAAAGGGGGAGGGTTCTCGGGTTCTCAGGTTCTTGGTTTCCTCAATATTCCGCTGCCTGAGTATCCTGCCGGGTGTATCGGCTAGGGTGAACTTCGATGAAGTTTTCCCACATCTTCCCACGTTGCCTGTGACGTGGCTTTCACGTCGACTTTGCGCCTTGGCTGCTCCAACTCCACATGGAATCAGAGCGTGCTAAGAATCAGAGGAACTCCCTTGATAGCAAAAGACTTAACTAAATGCAATCTAAATCTCGCTGAGGCCGCTTCCCGGCATGTGTTTAGTCTTCAACTTCCAATGTCTGGTCCAACTTACGAAATCTTGCTTTTGGTCATACTACGACTGTGGTTTTCTATCCTGGATATGCCACTGATTTCAGGCAGGCTGCGGCAGGCCCGACAAAACTGGACATCGTTGACCAGCTCTTTCTTCTTAAACAGTTCTTAAAGTTATTCCATTTGTGTGGTCGTGTAAACTCGTGTGAACACTCGGGCAACTCTCGGAATCGAGCTGGGAATCCAGTTGACGCATGTTCTGCAAAGTCCTGCGATGCCAAGCCTGGACATTGATGGGGCTCCCATATGCTCCCATATCCACAGAAGCGCAGTGGGTTACATCCAACTATGCCTATGCACTCTCGCTCGGCCGTTCGGGGATCCTGCGTAACCTACTTACCTGCATGCTGCACTGATCTGCACTGCCACAGTCTGCACTCCGCCTCGAAGCTTCGGAGAAGCCTGAAGTTTACTTGAAGACCGTTCTTCAGACTGAACATCTTAAGAATTTTGGAACTTGTGGTCATGCAACTGACTGGGCAAACGGACCCATGGCCTGAGGCTGTCCTCTTTTCGGCTTGTGCGAAATTCTTCCTGTCGTGGCAGCTCCAGAGCAGAGCTCTCAAAGTGCCACATACCGGCGGATAATGGCTAGCAGCCCGTCCCTCCTCCTCGTAGCGCTTCAGCTGCTGCGCCAGATGTCGCGAAGTCTTACGTTCTGCCGAAATGTCACGTGCAGCCTGATCAAGAGGTGCCGCTTCGGGAGGTCAACTTAGCATGGAGCTGAACCACGACATTGTTTTGGCCTGTTTGCTAGCAGCGCGCCCAGACTTCGCAAATGCGACCGTGCGGTCACGGACTTCACGCAGCACCAGACCTTCTGACCTACTGCAGCATGCAATAGTATGCAGCAAGCAGAGCAACGCATGCTATCCTCTTGATGTAACAACACATTGACAGGACTCCCAACTGTACCTCTGCAAGCCTGCGGGCTTCAATGCAAACACGCACTTGTAAAATCTTACAAATGCAACACCTTTGTGTTGTGAATGCTTATTGATGCCGAACCCCTAAGTAAGTACCAATGATTCCGATACTACGAGTAGAGGCTCCGAGGCTGCGCCTCTCTCTGCTCCTCGCGCAGGGTTTGCATTCGGCGTCGCTCTGTCGCCAGTTCTGCGCGGCCCTGGTTCAACGGGCCCATGCTCTTATCTGCCTTGCGTACCCAAGATATCCCAAGATTGCCCAAGCTGCCCACCTCCTGCTGCAGACGCTTCAAGTCCTCGGTGAGCTCCAGGCAGCGGTGCTGCTCGTCAAGCAGCCGGCGTTCAGCCTGATGGGAGACTGCATGATGCCGTATAACATCTGCGTAGCATATCTGCATGTCATGTCTACATGATCTTGAACTGATCCTACCTCTTCCTCCACAAGTGTAATTGACTCTTTCCTTGGTGTTTGATTGGAGTTGCGGAGTTGTTTCTGGTGTTGGCCTTTTCAATCGTGGACGACATCATTGTTGCCGTGCTCCCTTTTCACCACTCTTGCACAAGACCAATAGATGATAAGACCGTAAGTTTCCCCCATTGGGCTGGTTCACTGGACCATAATCATTAGAACAATAGGCCAAAAGGCTTCCCCCCGTTGGCCTGGTCCATTGGACCTTTATGGACAATTAGTATTTGACCAGTTGGTTGCCTCGCGTGTACAACTTTTCCCGCTGCCTTGACTCTAGCGGAGTACGGGCACGGGCCTCGTATGAGTCAAACAAAAAGGGGAGGATGGTGTGTGGCAGCTTCGTGGGCGTGCTCAAGCCATTGAATGGCCATGGAAGTTTTCTGACAGCCTCAAAATTGCACAACACGAACACTGCCATCATTGTTGCTTCGTACAAAGCGCAGTTAGCACTAGGAATATCTACCCGCATTTTACATATGCATATGGTCGCCCCCCATCATGACACACGCCTGCCTACATCTGCAGCTATACTCGAAAGCACATTATGAAAGAGCCTCTTGGGAGCTTATCTCTGCGATAAACCTTGTACTTACTAAGTCTCTAGCTACCGCATAACACGCTTGTACGCTATATATTGTTCCCTTAGGAAACAGAAACAGCACGAAGGCGACATCGATATCCAGGACTATTGTGAGCTGAGAACATTCGCTTGTCGTATACTTCAGTATTTCCACTACAGAACGCCTAAATGTACATTGAGATCTCCTTAAACGGAATCATTTCAGTGTCCCAAAACACCGGTATATCTTTCGATGGATTGATGCTTACATACCACTCGTATATGATACACTAGCACACACCAGCTGCGAATGTTTCATGGATTTTGCCAAGACTTGTGCACCCTTACATTGCGTTCACTACGAAACGGGAATTTAGCTAATGCAATCTTCATGTGTATGTATATATATATATATATACATACATCCGGTTGGGAAAGGCGGCCCTACTTGTTCAAACAGTGTTAAACCCCAATGAACGCCGTTGGAGCATTAAGTTGTCGAAGGCGACTCTGCGGCATCACTCCCCCAAGAAAACGCCGCCCGAAGAAGGGCATGCATGTGATGAAAAACTACGTTAGACATGCCATTCTGCAATGAACGCCGCTCCCCACAGGCCTACTACAACACCATGAAAACATGTGCACCACCCGCATTCCCCGAAGGAAACGCTCGTTCCAGGAGCCTTTTAAAGCTACCAGAAAGTGCGGAGACGTCGATTCCAGTACTAAGCTTGTACTACAAATCATTGAAATCAGGACGGCTCATGGAAATGTTGATTTTCAGTACTTCTCTTGTACTACAAACCGATGAAAATCCAGCCCGCTCACGGAAACATAGATTCCAGTACTTAGCTTGAACTACAAATCAACACATCAGATACAGCGAACCCCTGAATCCCCATGTAAAAGCAAAAAGAGGCGCCTTAATCAAAAGCTACCCCCCCAGTGTACAGCTGCTTCATGTCAGAAAGGGACACCTTTCCCAATCGAGTGTACATATACATATATAAATATGTATTATACACATACATGTATACGCATATATACATTTTCGCCTGCCTCCGAATTGAATGCACCTGGCCCGTGAACTCCCTTAACTATCCTCGCCTTCCTCTTCAGAATTCGCGATGCTGAAAATCCAACTTGCTTCTTCCATGGTCTTCAGTCATATCTTCTCCGGGTGTGTATATTTGTCCCGTATTACCAGTATGTAGTGCTTCGGTATTTCACTCGATGTTTCGCTGTCTTTCGCTTCTTTTACTTTCTTTGTCTCTGTTGTTTTTTACATTAGCCTTGTTCTTGTTTCCAATTCCCTCTGATTCTTTCGCGGCTTTCCGATCTTTGTGGTTTCTTTCCGTTGTTAACTGTTTCGTCTTTCTGGACTCTTTGTCGTTCCTTTCAGTTTCTCTGCTTCTGCCGCAGAATTCCTTCTTTCTGGCTCTTTTTCTTTCACTTTAGTTCGTCATGATTATTTCGTTCTTTCTTGTATGCTCTTATGTTTTCATTTCATTCGTTCGTTATTTCGTTGGTTCGTCCTTTGGTTGCTTCTTTGCTTCTAATATTCTTGTCTGTCGCTCTTTCGTTCGTTCTTTCCATTCTTTCCTTCTTTCTTAGATGCTGTCAATCACAGCATTTGGAGCCCATAAGCTGTCAGAATCGAAGCGGGTTCTTCACACAATCTTGGGTTGAACAGAAGTTGAACACTTAGAACCAACTGCATGCCGCGTCCAGTGACAGTCAATCGAGTTCACAGCAAAGTGTCTGTTTGGCCTCGTCCCACTGTCTCGCATCTGCTTTGTCTTGTCGAATTGCCTGCGTAACAAGAGAGCGCCACCTTGTTGAAGTCTCTGCAGGTCGAGTTGATAGGCTACAGTCAGGTGGTACATTGCATATGCTTCGAATGCAACTGACAGCATCAGACCCGACACCAGGAAGACGTCTCAGTGAACAGCATTATCAGCATTCGGCCTCAGCTTGCAACTGCAGGCGCTGGACATCCTGAGAATTGCACTGTTTCATCGGCATTCATCTTGCATTGAATCGCACATTCTGGGACATCAAAGTTCAGGTCCAAGATGGTCCAAATATGCGTGCAATTCAGTGCACCGTGTCATGAAGACAAAGCTGGGACCACACCAATTACGGTCGGTCCTGCTCACTTACGCGCAAAGCTGTTCCCGTTCTTTCGCTCCAAGAATAGTGCAATTAAGTGCAGCTGCTTCATACTTTCAACTTGAGAGGGCCCAGATGAAAGCGAGCAGACATACAACAGGAGGCAAGGTTTGGAATGCGGGGTATCGCGGGGCCTCCGTGTTCGCTCGCACGGGATGCATGTTGAAGTTGAACAAGCGGGGGGTGGGGGGCCCAAACGTATCCCAAAAACCAATATGTCGGGCCGCTGGTGCCCTCTCCACCCCCCCCCCCCCCCCGCCCCGGTAACTCCCCGACATAATGTCGCGCCGCCGAGCCTGACTACCATCAACAGCAGACAGGAAGGGCAAGGTCGAGGCAACGCATAGTCGGCACGCAAGCAGCGAGCAACGAATACTAGAATGGACATGGCACTTCATCTGGCAATGATAGCATAGGTTAGCATCAGCCATCGCAAGGATTGCCGTCACATCCAGCGATTATATGGAAACTTCATAGCTGCCAAAACCATGCATGTCAGTGAGTGCCTTAAGGCTATCCCTTAACTGAATTTAACTAACATGCGCCACACAACCCTGCCCACGAAGAAACCCTGCCACGGTCCGCCTGCTGCCAGGTCTTCTCCAACTCCTCACGCCTGCGCCGCTCTGATAACGCCTCACCAGCAGACGGACTTTCTCGTTCAATCTCTCTATAGTGATGAAGATCAATGCCCCTCTGGCAACATATTGGCCGGACTGGTTGGGCACATGACTGGCCGAGCTTCTTTACCCTTACGCCTTACGCTTGGTCCACCGCTTCTGCAAAGGAAATTTTAAACGGTCCGGCCAGCGCGAAAACTCCTTTTGGAAACCGTACAGAACTGTAGGCCCGATTATGAAGAAGCATGTTCACTTTAGAGAGCTTCCGTTCGGGATCTCACCCACCTCGTCTCGTGCCAGCTGTACTTCTGTCTGCAAGGAGGTCGTGTGCAAGTGCAAGGCCTGCGAAGCCTCCTCAGGAGAGCTCTGTGTCTTTTGTTCCCTTGTACGCCCTAGCCTGCCACAGCCAACAAGCTCGCACGAGTTCTCTTTTGAAAAATCTTCGGACAAGTTGGCGAAGCGGAATCTGGCCAAGTGGAATCTGAGCGCTTGGTTCTGGGAGGGCTCTACGTCAAGATGCATCTTCTACAGTCACTACAACATGCTCAAATGTACTCGATATGCATTTGTTATTGACCATGTGATTCTCCCACTGAAGTCCCATCTGCTCTCGCTACACAGCAACCGCTCAGGCTGGAAGGCATGCGCTGTGTCGGTGCTCCTGGTGCTGAGCATCATCCAGGCGCCACTTGCGCTCGCTTCGGACGGCCTCCTTCTGCACTCCAAGCTGCCAAGCTCTTCTTGGAACTCATGAGTCATGAAATGTCATGAAGAAGTTCGCATTTCTCGGTGTATGAGGAAAGAACTCACAAGCTGCCTCGGCTTCAAGATGTCGAAAAAAACGCCCGCCGCGCTTCCAACGCCCTTCAGTCATGCCCGAGATCTTTGCAGGCTCCTCGTCGGCCACCTTGCACTTGTCTTTGAGTGACGCAACCTGGCGAAACAGCATCGTGATGCGAGATGCCGCGAAAACTTGCTCCAAAAGTCGCAGAGGCTTCCGAGCGACCGGCATCAGAATCAAGAATTGAAATGACCCAACCTCCCAACCTTTCCTCCGCGAGGGTGGCCCAGTGCCACGAAGGCAGCTGGGGCCATAAAAACTTGTAGAGTTTGTAGTGTGGCCGCGCCTTGCTGCCAAGTCATGGCAGATTCCCAGTTATGTACTTCAGCAAAGCATCTTGCGTTCGAAGGTAAGATTCTAACTTGTGAGGCAGGTCCCGTGTTGCTGTCGTGGCGAGGATATACCTTGATCATCAGGAAGCGGAGAAAATCCGAAAAGTAAAATCACCCCACCCGGGTGCAAAACGTGATCGACCTATGTAAGTGTTCGGTTGCTGAAGATCTTCTGACAAGATGTGCTCAAGTGACTGCAGCAGAAACGAAATCCTAACAATCAAACTATACAATGTTCCCCCGCCTTCTTCTTTCACTAGTCCCATAAAATCCAACCCTTTGACTTCATAGAAGGCTCACGCACACTTCGCCTCCGTTCGGATAGCAACTGCTTTCGACTGAGCATGTACGACATCAGGAATGCAAGGAAGCTGCTTGTGTTTTGGGAGTTCACCACGTCGTGCTAGGCAAGAAAATGCTAGCACAGCCCACAAAACAGCAGTGGCTGATGGGCTGCCTCGCAGGTTATCGGGCCGTCGTTTCGTGATCTCATGCGGATCGTGATACTTAAGGCTGGTCCCTGCAAATAGTTCCGATTCCCCAAAACTAGTCCGATCACATCGTCCGCTTCCCAATTCTGCATACGAGTAGCACAACATGGTAGAACAGTGTTGGGGCTGCACCGCTGCCAACTCACCAGAAGCCCCCGAGTTCTACCCACTTTTTTGGGGCTATTTGGCTGCCAATTCTAAATGATTCTACATGTAAATTTGGGCCAGCACGATGTGTGGGGCTGTTTTGGGGGGGCCTTTTTGCTGCGGAGCAAGCCCCGAATACTCAATTTTCTCCTGCGATGTGGCAGGACGGTTTTGCGGGCTGATTTGCTGCGAATGCAGGAAGGCAATGACAAGTCAAATGTTGTTGGTGTTCTGCTTTGGGTGGCCACGTAGTCGCTTTCCAATGCAAACGACAGCGGCACGATCCCCGATATGTCTGATATGCCTGATATGCCTGTAGACCACTAGCTTCCCTTATGGGCACCCGACTCCCACAGGTTCACAAAGATTGCAATTGAGACGAAGTGAAATTAGCGGCTGCTGCCCGTCTCCAAAAACCAACTGAGCAACTGTTTGAGGGGAGCGATATTACAACAATTGGATCTCAGAACCTATTAAAGGCCTGCAGCTCGAGCTCCTTCATGGTTTCTTCCAAAGTTTCGCTCTTCCCACGCTCATGCGCCAGTAGCACGTCCTGCAGGGCGTGGGAATGTTTGAAGCTTAGGGTGAGTACACATCGGCCACCAATTCGAAACGAGACGACATGCAATTGCACATGGCAGGCGCACTCATGCAAGCAGTGCAAGCAGTGAAGCATAATGCAACCAATCCAGCTCTGGGAGACGGTGCTTCAGCGATATGTTCCTGGCATCAGTACGGAGCCGTGGTGGCAATCATTTGGTGCTGAGAATGTGGACTCGGTACGGCTTCTTGCTTCTCTGTGACATTTCGGGAGTTAACAGATTGGTAAGAGAACGCGAAAGAAGGCAAGTCCAGCTTTGCTGTAAACAAGCCTCGCAGGTTCATGTTCAGCGGGCTGAATTATCCAGTGCCAGGCAATCTGTTGCTTGATTTGGGGTGGTTCGGCGACATGTCTGCAGTGACAAGAAACAGCACAAACTGAAGGGAGGACTCTTCTTCCAGGCGCTCGCATGAGGCAATGGCCTGCGATTGCAAATTGAAACTTCACATTCGGACTCATCTTTAAAACGTGAATTACATGTAGAAAATAGATAGCACCATGCAGTCGCACTCCACCGACATCAATGGCCTCCAGATCAAGGCCCCACTTGCGGATTTGCAAAGTAGATACTGAGTACGTGCTGCTGAATTCACTGTTCAATTGAGGCAGTCTCCATCTACGGTTGCCAAAGCGAACTTTTTGCGCGGCTCCGAGTGGCCTGCATTCGGTTCAATCTTAATGAGGAGATTGTTGCTGCCAGGGCAGACGAGACCTGCGGACGCAAAGCAGCACACCGATACAACCAGTCATCCCATGTGTGCCTGACATTTCTCAATCCTAAGCAAACCCTGACCCCCAACACCCCTCAAGCCCCAAAACCCCAGAGAGCCTTGGAGACCTGCAGAGAAACTCTGCTTGAAGATGCAAGCATTACTTTCTGCTGCCTCCTTCAGGGCCACCTACTTCGACAGCGATGTCGCCGTAATCCGTGGCATCTACGAAAGATGCAATATCGAATGTCATACACGCGCATGGAGCCTCGCGATGCTCAGGAACCCTTTGTCAGCACAAGCATCCTTTGTCTTTGGCAAAAACAGCAACGTTTGCGGAGGCCTTAGATCTGCCTGCAAATCCTCCTCTCTAGCGACTGGCATGCTGTCAAAGTTTTAGAGTACTCAGACTCAGCAGCCTTTCCTAGGTCAGGGAAGTGAGCTCATCTTGAAGAACTATATCAGATGTTTTCGACCGTCGTTACGGCCGGCCGAAGTGGTGGCGAGGACGGCGAAGATCTAGTGACCAAATCAAAAACAACACGGATTTTTAAACACCTAGATTGGTATTTTCAACTGGGTCGGTCTGTGTGCATACCTATTTAATTCTCGGTACAGAGCTTGACTGAGCTTGCAGGCTACAAGTAGCGCAACTCGTCCTTTGGTGGATCCTGTGCTCACTGAAGCACCGATGCATAAGCATCGCCGCGAGACTGGACGCGAAGCTCTGGACCGGCGATTTTGGAATGGAATCGTAGGAGGGAGGGGCAGTAGTAGCAGTAGTAGTAGCAGCAGCAGCAGTAGTAGTAGTAGTAGTAGCAGCAGCAGCGGCGGCAGCGGCAGCTGCAGCGGCGGCCGCGGCGGCGGTGGTTGTGGTATGAGCAGCAGCAGCAGCAGCAGCAGCAGCAGCAGTAGTATTTCATTAGAAGAATGTCAGCCCTACCACCACCACCACATCCCTACCACCACCTACCTCACCAATTCAACCCTGAATCTACAAAAGCTCCCGAAATACCGACCCCCCCTAACCCCCCCACCACCCCTAGACCCGCCCCCACACCTGGACCCCCCACGCTGCCTGCCGTCCACCCCGTTTTTCCAACCCACACCTACACCCCCCACAACCCCGCCACCCAGCCCCCACCCCCCAGCCTGCCCTAGACCCACCGGCTCGGCTCGGCTGGGGGGTGTGGCTCGAAAAGGCTGTGTGTCGCGGGGTGGGGGGGTGGGTTGGTACTTTTTAATCCGGGCGGGAGGGGGGGGGGGCGGGGCTGGCCCCCACCACTTATTAACAAACACCACCGTGCTGGCCATGGCGAAGCTAGATCTGCAGAAACCCCTAGAAGTCAGTGCAGCAGCGCTGGCCTTTCACATCTAGAATCATCCAGAAAGATGAGGCGACATTATGATTCCCAGAGACGCTGCAAAAGACTGCAAGATTGCAGAAGCGCCTGCTCAGTCTGCTCTTCTCTCTTCTGGGCTTTTGCCTTGCGCATGAACATTTTGCCAATCGTGACAGTTCTGGGTCTTCACGTGGCGATACATAACTAGCAGCAACCATGGCCTGGCTCTTGCAATGCCAACCAGCAATCACAGACTGCTTATTAGTGCGTGGCATTGAAAATGAGAAAATGAAAGTAAAAAACGAAGCATCACATGCCATATTCTCGCGCACCTGCTCTTCGGCTAGTTGCCGCTTTAATTTCGCCACTGCCTGAGGGCAGATAGGCTAGTTAGCATGTGTCACAGCACTCACTTCAATGCTCACTAGACTGAGGGTGCTGGGGCAAAAGCATGACGATCTGACAGGATTGAGATGACATGTATGTTGTAGGTACTCAGCTCTATGGACCAAGGAAGCGCGTCAGCTTGCCGTCCAGGCTTGGGATTTAGGGTGTTGCAAGCAAGATGACACACACACACACACACACACCAAAAAAAGTGCAGTGTGTGAGGGAGGCATCACGAAGAGATCCATCGTACTTTGGAAACATCACTGGAGCATCTGGAGCAACTACTGTAGCGCTGCAGCAGTGAACGAGTATGTTGAGTGATGAGAGGTGTGCAAACACACATGAAACATCACAACGCCAGCTGACGCAAATTATGCTACCAGTATTCGTCATGCATAGTATGTGTACATGGTCTGCTTTGTCTGCTGCACGACTCCTTCACACTCGATGCGGAACCCCGGCATAGTTTCCCTGCACAGATTTCTCGATTCCCGACAGGAGGTCACTTAGCAGACCACCTGCTCGCGTCAAAGCATCCGTGGCAAGGCCAAACATGAGCTTGTAGACAAATCGCATCACTGCGTTCAGCTCCCCAGCTTCGCATGGTAGAAGCAGCACAGCACAAACCTTCCTAACTCCGGAACAGGTATGGCTTCTTGACAAACACCGGTCAAACCTGAGATCACCTTTGGAAGTACCACAAGGAACTGAAGCGGGAAACTGGACGACACTTTCAGCGATACTGTAGCAGCTTGATCTGTGCGGCTCGGCACGTGCTCAAACACTCACATCACACACGCTCACACCAGGCGAAGCTATGCCGAGCTTTTCAGAATCCTCCGAACCGAAGACTCTCGAAAAAGCTCGGCGGACCCTGCTTTTGCCGCAAGCTTGGATTCTGATCCCGGCATTCATCTGTGGAAACCAACCGGCCCTAAAGTCGATTCTTCCTCAACGGCGTCATGCCAAGCATCCATACTTGCGGCTATATCTGTAAACACAAATTTCCACGAGATTGCACAGGTTGAACGAGTGCTGAGGTCAACACTGACAGAAAACAACAGGCTTGAGTAGACGAAAGACAGTAACATTCAGCAATCTGTCTGTTTTGAACATTCGTGACTGCACTCCATCCAGGGTAGACTTGGGGTAAGGCCACCACTTCCAGTGCAGGGACAACTCTGCAGCCGGGCTGATTAAATCGGATGTGCCTTTCTCACCCCATAAATGCACTGTGGCCGTGAGTCATCGCATACATTTATAAATATATGCCAGTGCCAGCAAATATTTTTTTAGTGAGTACCGCATTAGTTCATCACCGGCGCCAAAACAGTGCAGCAGCAAAACTTATCCCAACACCGAATCGCAGTCAGGTCTACATCAGCGTGGAAAGACTCTTGAAAGTTGAAAGGTACTTACAGTACTTACCAATGATGTGCACACCCCTGCACATGACCCCCATTGAGGACGAACCCTGCGTCGACACCTCCAGACCTTGCGTTGTGAGTTTAAGTGTCTTGAGCTAAGGGTTCGAAATTTAGGGTTCCTTTTTTCTGAATTTGTTGGCTCCTCGACTCTGCATAAGCTGTAAGCGCAGACGTTGTCCTAAAGGAGCACCGCAGCATGCAAGCGAGAACGATGCAGAGTTGTATCGAAACAGAAACTGCCCCGAAAGTGGTGGCTTGGAAACGAAGGTCTATTCCGCTGAGACTTTTGCCTCACGCAGCGACACATCTACAAGCCTGACAAGCCTCTCCGAAAAATCCCCTTTCCAAATGCATCGGTGAGCTGCGCATGCCATCCCAAAAGGAATCGAACAATTGATCAGACTTCCAGAACAGAAGATGCAAGTAGCTTCAAAGAGAACAGCAGCCGATCAACAACCAGACAGAGGGAACGACATTGAAGGAGACAGAAAGCAGCGGAAGACGACAACAAGAAAGACGACGACAACGACAACAACGACAACGCAAGTGGGGAGACAACGGAGGAAACATTAAGCTCCGGGGCCCAACCTTCAACTTCAAACATAAGAGGGTCTTCATATGTCTTCGTTCGCCGAACCTGGAAAGTCTCAATGCGACTGGATGACTGCAACTCGTGCACGAGGTGGAAAATCAACTTGTGAGGTACATGCACTAATCTGTAGTTAGTGCTTGCCTCCGGCGAGACAGTTCACCGATTCACCCATTACACGATGGAAGAGGCCTTTGTCCTGCCGCATACTGGAATAGGTGCAGATGTTGCATGATAATTGCGAAATATTCCGAACAAGAGGGGCTTCTGGCCACTGGTTTAAAGACGCCATGACCGCGAGTAGGTCGCGACTGACCTCTCTTCATCATAACCATGGATGATGGCTTGTCCCCCTACATGCTGCCGCGGGCCACGAAAGATATATACATATATATATATATATAAGAAAATTAAGACAGGTTGACAGAATCAAACCGTGCTGTGGCCATGCAAGCCTGACGAGCAGCGAACTAGAGGATCAACTTCGGCCCACATCTGCCTAGGGATCACGCCCGATTGGACGACACTATGCAGATCTGGGATACAACGTCGGCAGCTGCCCGATGTAGTGGCTGCCAATCTCTGCTGGCATTTAGAGACAAGTAAACTAAATAAAGATCTGAACAGATCTCTCAGTAGAAGTCATCGCGCAGATGCATATTAAGGTGCAAAGGCCTCTTTGCAATCGCAGCTCATGTGTGCTACACTTGGTTCACGGTCCACTGGCTCTGGCGCGAAGGCGCTTGCTGTCGACAAGGCCGGCTGACCTGACTCACTTGCAGACCCGTGTGCTGTCTCCACTCAAACCGTCAAGCTTCCAACCACCATGTCAGCGATGACTGAAGTGAGGCCGCACTTTTTCCAGACACTTCGTCACTGCAGATGCCAAAACCGAACGAGTGCCTGGCTTTCTGCCAAGCCGTCGTCATTCTCCAGACTCTGGCATGCAGCCTTGTACTCATCCTCCCAAGAAATGCCGGAAGCATTGGATGAAGCATCGCCTGTGCAAGTCAGGGAATATTCTCGTGGGAAGTGCCGCGTGATGTTCGTTCACAGATCAAGCACTGTGGGATATTTGTGCAGCATAAAAAATGCGCTGTCTGTGCCAGAAGTTAAACCCAAAGTCACGGAGCGCACGGAGTGTCATGCCTTCCCAGTCGTCCAAGAGAGGCTCGTCTTCCGTCGAGTAGCTCGCGAAGCTGGGCTCCTCAACTGGCAGGCTGACAGGATGCATGCGCCAGACTGACTAGAAAAGAATCATCGTTGACGGCCTGGCATGGATTCACGACGACAGTTGATCGAAAAGCCGCATGCGTTGTCAATGTTATCGACAAAAAGTCACTTGCACGTCGTCTGACAGCCAAGAAGGGCTCATGATGTCTTTCGGCAGTTTCGTTGAAGAGGCCCTCGCGCAACAAAAAAGACCTTCAACTCCGGATCGAAGAACGCTAAGACGCCGTTGGCAAGTGCTTCAGCTCCTGGTCATCGTCGTCATCATCTTCGTCGTCGAAGAAATTGCCAAATTCAAGGAGCTGCACATAGTGCATCCCCTGGATGATTCTGGGGCAAGTAACTGCGATCAGAATGCCTAAACAGCAAAGCTGCGAATGCGCATCGTCCGGTCAAACACCTTATGCATCGGAACACGAATGAACACAAACTCACCACTTTTCCCGCAGTCCCAACTATGAAAAGCATGTGGATGATGTTTTAAATTCTTGTGCCACGCCTTAGGCGTATGCTTCCCTTGCGCCTCACCCTTGAGCCGCCTTGCGCCGTGCTAGTGGTTGGCCATGCCAGCAAACATGTCAAAGTTCCTTGCGCCGCCTTTGGGCGCGCGTCCAGCTGACAGAGTAAACTCTAAAATATCAACTATCGCCCTTCTGAGCCCTTGCGCTCGTCTTGCGCCCCCTTGCGCCATGCTGGTTTTGGGCGACAATCGCGAGCAACACATGTATGGCCGGCCCAATCTACCGTCAAGAGGCGGGGGTTTAGAACAACACCCACATCACATGACCTTCTTCCCTTGCTACATGTGCTTCCCGTTTTCGGTAGGCCGATTTCATCGAGCCCGTTGGTCGGCGAGACCGTGCCGCTGCGACGTTTAAGAACCGACATTGTCACCAAAACAAAAAACAAAACCACTTCGGTTGGACGATGAATGATGGTGGCACAAGAGCTCCACTGGCCCAGATCCTTGGTTGGGCTTGTCTAGCTCTGAAAAGACTGTAAAGGCCCAGAAACCCCAAAGGCCCCCGAGAGCCCAAACCCTAGGACATTGTCCGGTTTTTCTGGCTTCCCAAACCCTAGGACATTGTCCCGAGAGCCCCAACCCTATAGGCATTGTCCTAGGGTTTTTCTGGCTTCCCACAGCCCTGAAAAACAAACGTGTCAGGGCAAAAAAAGGACACTTAAATTGCACATTTAAACACACGGATTTTTTCAATAAATGTTTTATACTACCTCCGTGGCTCGTGGCCCGGGCCTGCCCTCCACATGTTAAAAACAGCCACCGTAATATGTGTTGATCACACGTAGCTTCTCTATATATATTATAGAGTCTATGTGCACTGCTAGACACAATACCATCCAGTGGGATGCACGATGCTTTCCTGGACATCACCGAACACCCCACCCACTCACTCACTCGCCCACCCACTCACCCACAGTGTGGCGTGCATACTCAGTTTTGGGATGTTTCGGGGAATCTGTCCTTGGTCCACCTCCAAAAATGCGAGAACTTTTGCCGATACAGCCACGTGACAACTGGTCAGTCCTGTAACACTGAACAACGCTCTGAGCAACGCTACACTCCATCCCCCGCAAAACTTGAGCCCGTTGTGCGCCATTTTGCAGATGTTTGAGTACATTGTGCATAGCATGCTTTGCAAGGCTAAAGCATGCGGGTTTGTGGGGGGGGGGGGGGGCCGACTTTTTGTTTCCCCCCGGGCAGCATTTGCAAACAAAATGCTCGTTTAACGGGTTCAGGGCTTCAGGGTTAAGGTGACTAGACTTTAGGAGTTTGGGGTTCAGGGTGAGGGGCGCAGCTGCACTTCTGCTTTTGTCCTCTATATTTAATGTTTATTTTACTCAATTGTTTGTTCTACCTTGCCCGCCTGCTCTTCCTCCTGCATGGTTCTTCATTTCTGTCTGCCTTGCCTTCCTTTCGGCTGTCTGTCTGTGCACCCCCTCCCTCTCCCCTGACCCCTCCGCCCCTCCCCAAAACCCTGAATGCAAACTGAACAAGGCCGCCCCCGCCAAGCAAAACACACATGAAAAAAACAAAGACTGGGTCGCCAGGTATTGAGGCGGAGCTAACAACTGTCACTCTAAACCGTTGTAAACCGTTCCCATGCAGCCTCCGCTTCTGGCAAGAACGAGCGGCGCGGCGCCTGCAAAGGCATTTCAGAGGGCATTTCAGAGGGCACCCTCAGCTTCAGCGAGTAAGAAATATTGGAAAATACTCAGAAACACTCAAGAATTCTCCGTTTGAAGTCGAAAAGCCGGGTGCCGGGCCTCAAGGCTCAAAGCTCCCAATACACGACTCCGCTGCCGAGCCTCATCAGATTGCTCCTGCAGACGGTTGGCAAAATCACAGAATAGGGCAACATGATGCAGGATGTACTCTGATGTACGCTGATGTACTCTCTGATGTATTGGTAAGCCTTTGGAAGCCTATGAGATGAGGCTTGCAAAAAAGAACCGACGAGGACGTTGCTTGAACGTTCCTTTGCTCAGCTTGGAATTGTTGAGCGCAGCTCTTTCTAGCAGAGCTGGACTGAGCGTGACTGTCGCTGGCTGTTTCCAGACTTTGCTCCAATGGATCCAGCTGGAGTTGATCGAGATGACATGAATTAATCATGAGTTAGCGGCCCTTTGGACATCCCAAGCTCCGGAGGCCCTTGGATTCTGATCCGAACTTGTGCACTGCGTGACGGCCTCTTGCTGCCCACTTGCTACTCTCCTCTCTCTGTCAGGCGACGGTTGAGGCTGAAGCTTGAGGCTTCTGTAGACATTATCTCAATGTCTGTGTCAGGACGTGTTAGACGAGTTTGTGAACCTGCAGAACTGGGTCAAAGGGATTCAGGATAGGGGGCTTCATATTCAACTTTGGCACCTCTTACAGGGCTTGTGCTCTGGGGATTTTCAGGCCTACAATCATCGAGGTCTCCACCTTCATGGCGGGCATCTTTTGGTGTCAGCTTAAAGTCGGAACTTCATGGCGCTTCATGTTTCACATTCCACGTGGTTCTTCTGCTCTTCGTGTGCCTCTTCTGAGTGTTGGTCCTTCGGCCGAGGGTCCGTGCATTTGTCGAGGTGGACGTGTAAGGCCGAAAGGAGCAAAAACACTCCAGCAAACATCAGTAAACAACATTGAGCAATGCTTGCAAGCAGCGCTGTGTACACATGGTCTTTCGACAGAGCTGTTCCATCAAGGGCTCTGCATGGCTCTGCCAGCAACCTTCTATCTACGAGTCCTATGGTCCTAGAGTGCTTAGAGCGAGCGGCAGCTGGCCAGACTCGTGCAAGTGTTTGCAGATGCCTGCACGACCTGCAGTGTTTGAGAGCACGTCTCCTGGGCCAGAAACGATGTCAAGTGCGAGTAGTGCGAGTTGTTCGGTACGAGGATAGGGTAGGCCCTCAGTGGCAGCTGCGGGAGCCCGAGGCGGTCCTCGACCTCAAGGCAGTGTTGTAGGGCACTGAAGTACCCAATATAGCAGTATACCGCAATCTCAATCACAGTACTTTCACAGCACTTTCACAGCACTTTCACAGTGATCCCTTGACTCTCGCTTTCCATGCTTCTCTCAGGCTTCCCTCAGCCTTTGCAAAGGAGTCTAAGGAGCCCCGGAGTCTTTGTCGTGACTTTTCACAGACCATTGAAGCCAAAGTGCCCTCCTTGTTGCCGCCATTGGTCTTTTTCAGCTTGGGGATAAACGAACGCCCCGTTCCCTAAGCTCTTACAGAATGTCCTGGCATACAAAAATGCAGGCAGTATCACATCTTCAGCTCTTAGATGCTTCTAGCCATGCTAGCCTTGAGCTGCAATTGAGCTGTAAGCCCACACATGGCCTGCAGAGCTTCCCACAATTTCTAGTGTGCCAGCATGCATTCAAGCAGGTTGAACGGTTGAACTGCGGCTCTGCTATTCTGCTCCCAGCTTTGCACGGCCTCTTGCTGCAGGAGAAGCATCTCTTGTCGAGGAGAGTCAACCATGACACCATCCTCCGACCTTAGAAGCCCGAGCACGTACATAGCTGCACATCAGTCGGCAACTCAAAAAAACTTCACTCAGGCACACTCAGGCACATTGAGGACATGAGGTCATTCTGCACTCGGTTGCAGGCGAGACATCGCTCAGTAGCCCAGGGGGGCGCCGTTGCAAGGGACTGGCAAACAAAGGCAAACGAATGCAAACAGGCGGAAGATAGCGAGTGGTAAGATGTGACTAAAAAGCAGGGGGCTTGTCGGCAAAACAGAACCCGCGTTCCTAGAACGCTAAAACTCCAGGCTGTTCAGAGACTCACGGCAGTTCCACGTCGTTTCTAAACTGTAACTCTTTACCACTCCTTAGCTCGACGTTGCCAGGTCATGTCGCCTCGCTACAAGGGCTTGAAGTGGTTTCAATCAAGCTCCGCTGCTGATACCCTGACATGCTGCCATTGCCAAACCTCGTGCAAGTCCGAAATGGGGGAGGGTCTGATCGTAGCCTTATGTAAGGAAAATTGGAAAATTAGCCAGCGGTACTGCTTCAGTTTTCAATAAGTCTTCGCCAGCTCTTACCAGCCACTAACTCTCAAGAAGACCCAGCAACATGGTGGTGCCTGTGCTCGTGTGTTCACCAATGTTCATCTGACACATCCATACCATTCTGTGCCCTTGCGCGATCGCCCGCGCACCCTTTTGGTCGAGGTGAGGAGGAGGAGCCAGGACTCGACCTGCCCGATGCACACCGGAGCGCAAGTCCCCTTGGGGCTCAAGCCACCCTTCGAATCGAAACCTTTGTGCAGAGTTCTGCGGGTGCGTTTATAGCTTTACGAACAACCAACCGGAGGCCTTTTTTCCTCGAGCCGGATTGTTTTCTGGAAACTTGAGCCATCAGTGTGCATGCTCTGCTCGAAGCAATATCTCATCTCACACATCACATACCCGTACAGGCCTCATACAGAAAGTAGCTTGAGAAAAGTGTATGTATGTTGCATGCCGAACAAAAAATCACAATCCCATAAACCCTACAAAAGCACATGCATGGTATGACGACAACCAACTTCTTTGGAACAGACCAACTGGGACCATCGAAATCCCAGATAGGCGGAGGCCTCGTAGGACTGCCTCGAGGCCTTCTCAGGGCTCAAGGATTGCATGGATTGGCGCGATGCTCGACCATCGATAAATCTTACTCCGGTGACTCTTCAGGCTTCAGATATCGGCCCAACGTCATGGCTGTTGTCGCAAGGTAAATGCTGCAAGGCCTTGTTATTCTGGGAGGTGTAGGCGCCTTGCTTATTCCAAAGCATGGACATGCTCCAAAGATTTGCCGATTTCGCAGCAGCCATCGTCATACATTAAAGCCAAGTGCCAGCCCTCGGCTTGTGTGATTTGAATCAAGCGTTTCACTGCGAATCGCTTCAACGTTTCATCAGCCTTGTCTGGAACGGGCTCGAAGCCGAGCTCTTGGGTGACGCAGACAAAGCTGGTGAAGGTGTCCTCAATATGGGACAGCGTCTGCTGTCGTGTTTCGCAACTTGGCAACACAGCTCCCAGGCAAGCACAAAATTCACAGAACATCCCAAGGCTCCTCTCGGCATTCGCAGGAAGCCTTTTGGCCGCAGCGATCCTCGAGTTAACCGATTCTCGATCCGGTTCGTGATGGGAATGGACCCGACCCAATTCCACAAAAAACGATAAAAAATGTGCGAAGAACCAGCAAGCGTTTACTAACTAACTGTTTTGGGTCAAACGAAACCAACTCCAAAATGTGAGTGTCCTTGCACGTTTGCACATCGATTGGCTTGAAGGGCCAAAACAGCGGCTCACATTTACATGGATGGTGTTAAGACCTCACACACACTTTCACACTCGAGAGAGAGAGAGAGAGAGCTGCTTTCCTTTGGGTCACCCGCTTCACGGCGGGTGACCTTGGCCTTAGCTTCGGCAGCGGTCTTCGCTGCGGTGGTCTTGGCAAGGACCTTCGCGGCTGCGACTTTCCAGGGGCTTCGCCTTTGCATGCCTTGCCCGGCAGCTGTTGCATCGGAAACTCGCTGCCTTGCAGGTGGCTGTAGCTTGGGATGCATCCACGATGAGACTGGCCATCCCTGATTGTCCTCTGCTTGGGCAGGGCCTAGGAAGCGTTGGGTGACCTTCAGGGCACCCAAACAGCCCAAAATTGAGAACTACTTGTAGCGAGCCCGTAGACATGCTGTGGCCAGGAGAGCGAAGCCATTCGGAGCTGTGAAGGGGGCCGGTGAGGAAGCAGAAACTACTCCTATGATGCTTGATACATGATGGCCATGGGCCGTACTTCAACGATCTTCAATGGACTTCCATGTTTCAGTGCATACTCCTGGTCGTGATGTCGGTAGGAGGACTTCTTGGGCGCACTCGTGCTGGGTCGCATCAAAATCCCCCTTTCCTACTTCTCCTCCTCCACCTCCTTTTCCTCCTCGCTCATGGCGCCACGACGTCTTGCTCTTCCAGTAAGACCGCTGAGAGGCTCGTGTGTGGCCCCGAAAGTAGGGCCTTGTGGGTGCTGCTCCAAAACCACAACGATGGAGCTGCCGCGGCTAGTACAAATTTGTACGAGTATTTCAGCAGCGGAACTTGGTGATTTAACATTCAAAGCTTCGGTCAACGGCTCTACACACTAACTGAATGATTTAACTGGTGATTGCTGTAGACCGCGGCCTGCGGAACGGGCTGGATTGTGAGCTGCTCGGAGAGGCTGGCGAGGCAACCGGCGATGCTTGCGACCTCCTCACTGAGGGTCGGCCCCGGCGGCACTCACAAGGCACACATGCACTGTCGTTCTGCATGACATATCTCAGCTGCTTGGAAACGATGAGCCCTGCGAAAGCCCCAGCATACGCAAAGTGCCTGAGCACTATCCATCACAAGCGTGGTCGGGCCTCTCCAGTCCCCCAGTTGCCCCAGGGCTGGAGGCGTTGCTGGGAGAACGCGGAAATGTTGGTGTCCCCATGGGCCTGACCGTGTGAGACAGCGTGCGTCAAGTCCAACTACGGCGTTCATACTTTGCCAGAAGTTCGAGTTCACACAAACCGCCTGGAACGTGTAGGTGATGGGCTGGTGCTCCGGGATGGAACCTCCCAGCTTGGAGAGGTGCTGTGATGTGCTATCTGCTCGTTGTGCCATGGCGAGACGACGAGCCGTCATGGGGGAGATGCTGTCGCTGATCTAAGTACACCTTAAGGCATGTTTTGTCAGACTCTCCAACAATTGAGTGTTTCGATTGCAGCTTGGCCTGCAACTTGGCCGGGGACTTTGGCTGCACAGCTTTAGGCTTGGCTTTGGCCTGGCACCAGAATATTGCAAACACATCATGCAAGCACAAACGCACAAACACAGAGAGAGACAGACAGACAGACAGACAGACAGACAGACAGACAGACAGACAGACAGACAGACAGACAGACAGACAGACAGACAGACAGACAGACAGACAGACAGACAGACAGACAGACAGACAGACAGAAAGACAGACAGACAGACAGACAGACAGACAGACAGACAGACAGACAGACAGACAGACAGACAGACAGACAGACAGACAGACAGACAGACAGACAGACAGACAGACAGACAGACAGACAGACAGACAGACAGACAGACAGACAGACAGACAGACAGACAGACAGACAGACAGACAGACAGACAGACAGACAGACAGACAGACAGACAGACAGACAGACAGACAGACAGACAGACAGACAGACAGACAGACAGACAGACAGACAGGACAGACAGACAGACAGACAGACAGACAGACAGACAGACAGACAGACAGACAGACAGACAGACAGACAGACAGACAGACAGACAGACAGACAGACAGACAGACAGACAGACAGACAGACACACACACACACACAGAGACGCAAAGACTATGCAAAGACTCACACACGCATCCGCGCACGGTCGAGCTTGCAGAACGCCCTGCACTGCACAAGGACATTAATCCAGCTTCATACGTACCATGTTTCCAGGTAGTCTCAGTGCAAGTGCTCAACCCATGCTCCGATATACGTAGTCGTTCACTCTGAAACCTGCCAAACTCCTACTTCTGAAGGCATTTCACGCGGGCATCGGCGCAGACACTCAAGGCCTGTGCTTTGCTTGCCGATTTTGGTGCAGTCATGGCACCTGACAGCTCTGAAAAGCATGCGAAACACCATGCGAAACACCTTGCTGAAGTGTGCATAGCACGCCCTCGTTTTCGGACCCCGGCTCCTTTGTTCTCTTTTGGGGTTCTACATGGCTAAAGGATGCTAAAGGTTGGCCTCACTGGGATAGGGCTTGAGGTTTGCCAGTTCACGTCTTTTGGGTTTCATGGTCCAACTCTCCATTCTTCCGAAAACCTATAGTTGTGTTCCGAGTTGCTTTTACTTGAAGGGGCTGGCGTAACCCTTTCCCAACGTTGCGATTTGGGTTCAGGCACGATGTCTGTTAGAGTTGAAAGGTGTATTGATGCATCCTTTCGGGCTTGGGTCGACTACGGCATGCCAACCCCCGCATCGTTTTGGCTTCAGGGTTTGCCGCCCCGTTTTGGTTTCTGCTCTCCCTTTCTAGGGTTTCGGGCGTCCTGAAGTCCTGAAGTCATACACAGTTCTGAAGCCACACTTCGGCGTGCCGTGCGAGGTGTTTTGTGTCATGCAATTGCCGGTTGCCATGCAGCCTCGAGGAGTAGTGACGGCAGACCGTGGAGTAGTCGCCTTCCCGGCCGGCAGCAGGAATCATACATATGTACAGAATCATCTCTTCGTGGGGGGTCAACTTTCTGAGGTTTGATGTAAGCTTACACTGTCTTGTATTTGCCACACCCCGCAGGAAAAACTGCCGACCACACAACAGCCTCACAAATCCTGAGCTTGGAGGAGTATGAGGTCGCCCAAAGCTACACTTAAGATGTGCATACCGGGACTTGTAACCATCGTCTCTGGTTGAGAACTCATCATTCAATATTTCTCACCTTGATTTCCCATCGAGCAAATGTACTTTGTGACCATTCATTCGTTGATTCCTTTGAAAATATGCGATGGTTTTACCTATCTACTTCATGTGAATTAAGCGCTTACACTGTCCCGCCTCCCAACTAGGGCTACACTCCAATCCTCGAGACCTAGCTGGGATTGAAGGCAAGGGGGCAGCGACAAGCCCGCACACGTTTTATTGTTTTTTGCTGCCCGATATTGCCTACATGTATGCATGAATACATGAATACATGAACACATGAACACACGAATACATGAACACATGAATACATGACTACATGACTACATGAATACATGGAGACATGAATGCATGAATACATATATACATATGCACATATGTTTACACATAGTTTCATATATTTACACATATGTACAGATATTTACAAGTATTTAAATATGTTTAAGTATATTCCGTACATTTACATATGTACACATATATACACATATACATATATACATATATACATATATACATATATACATATATACATATATACATATATACATATATACATATATACATATATACATATATACATAAATACATACATGTATGCATATATACATACATACAGATATACATATATACATACATACAGATATACATATATACATATATACATATATACATATATACATACATACATACATACATACATATATACATATATGCGTATATACATATATGTTTTTTGTACATATACCTGCATATATACATATACATACATATACCATCATATATACATATACCATCATATATACATATACCATATGTATATATACAATCAAACATACATACACAATCACATATAGAAAAGCAATTGGCAGGCGATATGAATTAAATGTGTATAGAGAAAGAGAGAGACGAGAGAGAGAGAGAGAGATAAGAAAACAAACAAAACAATAGCAAGAGAGAGAGAGAGAGAATGAGAAAGACACAGAGAGAGAGAGAGAGAGAGAGAGAAAAAGAGAGAGATAGAGAGGGAGAGAAAGAGAGACAGTGACGGAGACATAGACAGAAAATCTAAGTCTCTGGGCAAGACAACTCCGGTGCTTTTATTTGAAGAGACAAGCTGCAAGCTTGCCAGCATGTCATCCCTTCCTTGACTATTCATGCATCAGAGGCCAAAACCACTTCGACACTCTCTCCTGTTTGACTGACACAATAGACGGCAAAGCTGCGTCAGTGTTTTGCGCCTTGGGCGTGCTGGCTGCTGAGCCTGCTTTGGCTGTAGCCTTGGGCACCTCAAAGAAGCGCAAATTCTGCTGCAAAGCGTGCTTCACTATAGGCTTACCACTCATGACATCTGACCGAACAAGCCCAACAAGGCATATTAAGTTTGCCGGAGCGGCCCGAAGTGGAACTTCGATGTGTGCTTTTGCCTTTGCAAGACGCTGGGAAGCAAGCATCGGACGCAGCACGAGATTCAGCAGATTGACAACCGCCGGTTTCCAACGCCCCCAAGACATGATCAACGCGCATTTTGCGCACGTTTCCAATACATGCAGTTTTGACGAATGCCAAAAGACATACGGTTCCCTACAGGCGCCATTACCTTCCCCCTTCGTGCATCTTACGTCGGAGCAACTTGTTGCAACGAAGGGATCCTGCACTTGCAGTCTAATGCAGGCCATGCAGCAGTGTCTCAACATTGCTCAATTGCATTGTTTTTTGTTCAGGATGTGGAGATGCGTTCGAGGTGTGTTGGGACTGGAAGGAGGAAGCACATGAAGACCTGGCCTTGGGCACCGAGCGACTGCTTCCTCTGTCGGTCCTACCCAAGACGCACCATCGATGAGCTTGGAGAAAGTGGGAACGCAGTACCAACCCTCCATTCCTGGGCCTGGGTGAGGAAGACCTGGAGGCCTGAGAGCATCTGAGAACGTCCGAGAGCTGCAACCACACATACCTACACAGCCGGCTTGCAGCCCCTGCCTCTCTCTTTTTTGCGTCCCGCGGAACCTCTTTTGCCTTGACAAATTTCTTCAAGTTTCGAGCAAGGTGAAAATGAACAGCTTCTCTTCTTTCCAAATTTCCGTCAAGCTGAATTCCGCCGAACTGCCTGAATTTCACAAGCATGCTTCACCCTCACACGCCGTGTGGGGATGCTTACTGGAGTTCGTACGACCCTGCACCATCCTGGTCCAGCTGGCTCGTCGAAACGCGAAACTCGAAATATGAACGCATTCTGAAACCGTCTGAACCTCTCTGGGAGAAGAAGGCGGTAGCTGCCTATTTGTTCCTTGTTTGCTGTTCCCTTTCCGGAAGTTCTAGAACTGAACTGTTGGACCGCTGGCAATTGCCTCTGGATGTGGAAACTTCTGGATTTGGACTGCTGGCTTGAGCTTCAAGCCGTTAAGTCACCTGGTGTATGCCTAAAACTAGTCCCTATAGAATAGAATCAGCTTTCACTGCGCTGTTGAAGAGGTGCGCCAGTGTTGGCCAGGTAAATTATTTTGATGTGAATATACCACCTGTCCATCTCATGTGCAGGACGTGATTTGCTATCTTGGACACGAGGCCTCCCCCTCCCACCGTCAACCCCTCCAACTGCAAGCCTGGTGCGACCCCGTTCGGATGAAGGGATGTTGAGAAATTACTTCTGAACAATGTCTGAACAAAAACATAGTCAAGCATCAATGTACCGGAACGTCATGCAGCTGCCTTGGCCTTTGGAGTTGTTGTGGCTTTTGCCCTGGCTCGTGCCTGCGTGCTGCTTTATAGCATGTCATGGCTTCTTGAGACTCTTCCATGGTCCCACACCAATGAAAGGGCCATCGAAAAATTGGTCTTGCATGGTCTGGCAAATGCTAGCATCGACGGCCTCGGCCTGCATTCTAGCAAAACTCTCGGCGCGCCGCGCTGGCTGCGCCTCGACCGTTGCGCAACGTTAGCCGTGCTTTAAGTCGAAACACATACCTCACATTGACCGAACGTGGGGTTGTTCACAGTTATGTCCGTCTGCTTCTGTGGTAGAACCACGACGGCCCGAAAACATCTTCAAGCAACTTCTCACGCAAAGGCTGCCATGCAAAATGCGCTGACAAGGTAAGCCCTAGCTGCCTTCTGCTTCGGATTGCCCAGGCTAGTGGCCTAAGCAGCCGGGGATTGAAGGTTCAGAGTTCAGATGATCTTCAGTGGTA